ATACCTTTCTAATCGAACTCGGACAAAAAGATTAAGCAGAAAACTGCACCTTAAATATCTACCGTGTGCTGAGAACCAAATGAACTGGACCGATGATCCATATGCTGATTTATCTGTCATCAAACTCACAGAATTCAATTTTATGTTCATCAGCAAGGACCGACCTAATAATATCAGCGAACAAAAACAAAGATTAATTACAATACAAACCTCCAAGTCATATTCAAGCCAAAGATGCAGATTTTGGAGCATGACAGACATAATGTGGACAACAACTGCATGAATAAGAAAGGAATTAACGCAGATAATGAAGCTGTCAAGTGCTCATGTACTAGGCACAAATAGACACCCTCGAGCCAATTCGAAACAATGATGCCGATGAGGATGTGATTTCATAGATTATTGATTGATCAATACTATGCAAGTCCACCACAAGAAATGCCTCCTCATGCGAGACAAGATTGAAGCATTGGAGAGTGACAAACCATCAAACCTCACCATGTTTAGGAAGCATCACCAGTCTTGTGAGACTGAAAAGGAGAAAACAAAGTAATGGTTTCATCATCTAAAAATATAGGCTTTTTCCACATTTTTTCACATGGAATGAGATAAGAAGTATAGTGTATGTACATATTTGGCTCTACATAGAACCGTTGATGCATCCAATGTTATCCTTCCTGTGACTTGGATCTAATTGTGCAACTCAAATTGATTCCTCATACGACTTGAGCCGCCTAAGTTTATATTTTTGTTTTTTTTCATTTTAACTTTACTAAAAGTTATTGAAAAAAAAAAGACAAAAGTGGCTTATATTAATTTAAACATGGCAAATAGCTAGTCTCCTGGGTGCTCCAAACATTAATTTCATTGAGAAACTTTAATTGTCTGTTTGGAGAAGTTATTTAAAAGTAAAAAAGTGTCAATAACTATTTTCACTTTATAAAGTTAAGAATGTGGTGATAAGGGTTATTACATGGTAAATAGCGTACAAAGTATGATTGCAGATGCGTGATGGAGTGACAGAAAGCCTTCATTTTATGGTGAATTTGTACCATACAAGGTAAAAGTGCATGTGTTGCAAAATGCTATATCTATGGTAAAACGTCTCATTCAATTGTGTCTAAATTTGTAGAAGTTCTCTATATTCTTTCATGTGAAAAAAGACTCATTGTGAGGTATATATGTCTAAAAAATGACGATATTCATTTGGGGTGAACATCTCTTAAATGGGACAACCAATGTTTAATTGCGCAAAATTACCTTTTCCCACTAACAAAAAGGATTTACTCATGGTATTTGTGTGAATGATGGTAAAAGATCAACTTCATTTCTTATAAACGATTCACGAATCTTTACGTGCTAAAAATATATATTTGGCGGTAAATTCAGTGTTGATATCGGTAAAAATATTCACTTCGTGGTAAATGTGTTTTGGGAAGTGGTCAAAATTGCATTTACGAGGGAAAAGATTCACTACTTAATATTTAAGCTGCTCTTTTAAACTAAGGCTACGTTTGGTAATAGGGATAAAATTCGGAATAAGATAAATTTTATCATATCCTGTGTTTGGTGTGTACTTAAGATAGAATAAAGTCGAATATAGGAAGGATATAGCCCGGATAAAATTATCCCAAGGGGGAGGTGGGATAAAGGTGGATAGGATTTTTAATATACGTAATATAAAAGTTATTTTTATCGAATAACAAACTTGTTAAATTAATAAAATTAAAATAATATTTGAATATAAATAATATTTAAATTTTAAAAAATTCAAAATAACAATAAATTCGTTTTTATTTATTCTTATTTTTATTTATATATTAAAGTTTCTTTCTATCTTATTATATAAATTTCATATATATATATATACACATTTAGTATTTATATTTATTACATATGTTAGGCATATTTGTATAGTTTACTATTCAATAAAATTTTATTAGAGAATGATGGAAGGGGAAGAAATAAAAAAGAAAATAATTAAAAAAGAGAGGGAAAAATAATAATAAATAAATAAAAATGAAATAGGTAAGAGTGTCGCAAGAAATTTTTATCATCTCCGTTTGTGTAATTTTTAGGTTCATTTATACTGATATAACATTCATAGCAAATAATGTATATATTAATATATGAAAATATCCGGCTTTATTACTGCGATTCACCAAACAGTAGATAGGATATAGTAAATCCCTTGGATTTCATATCATATCCTATCTAATTTTATTCTGACTAGAAATCTAAACAATCAAACGTAGCCTAAGTGGATTTGGGGGTAAACTGTCCAAAAAGTCTTAAGCATATTGTACTTTTATCAATTTAATCATAAACCTTTCAATTTTGCCAATTGAGTCTCAAACCTTTTACCAATTTACCAATTGAGTCCATTTGGCCAATTTTTGACTGAATTTGCTAACATGGACGCCGACCGTCCTATGTGACATGGTCGGCTCGTAGACAATTTTTATTAATATTTTCAAATTTCTTTCGATTTTTTCTAATTTTTTTTCTTTCTTTTTCTTTTCCTTTCTTCTTCCTCCTTTTGCCAGTCATTTGGCCACCAACCATGCCTAGGTGGGTCGCCCTCACCTAATCAAGGGTCACCATTGCCCAGGTGAAGGTGACGTCCAATGAGGCCACCCTAGCTTGGGTGAGGGTCGACCTCACCAGATTTGGCTTGGGTAAGGTTGACCCTCGCCCAGGTCAAGGCAGCCTGACCGGGCGTTGCTCGAGAGAAGGCAATGCTCGACAAGGCCACCCTGGCCTAGGCGAGGGAGCCCTCACTGGGGCTCACTTATGGCGGGCGATGGCGACCCTCGGCCAAGCGAGGCCAACCCATCCGGCCATGGCTAGCGACTAGTCATCACCTATGGCTAGTGGTCGGTCCCCGGCAAAAGGAGGAAGAAGAAAGGAACAAAAAAGAAGAAAAAACTTGAAAATTTAATTAAAAATTGAAAAAAATACAACAATATTATTAAAAATTGTCCACATTAATGGCGGCCATGCCACGTAGGACGACTAGCGTCCGCATTAGTGAATTCCGACCCAAATTGGCCTAATGGACTCAATAGTCAAAATATAAAAAGGTTTAAGACTCAATTGACAAAATTTAAAAGTTTAAGACTAAATTGGCAGAAGTGTAATAAGTTTATGACTTTTTGGACAATTTTCTCGTAGATTTGTTTATTAATTTCAACAAATTAATGCACTAAATGTTTAAATTAATTTATATTTGAAATTAGCAATTACTTTATATTTATACCATATATCTTCATTTTGTCTTTAGTGCGACGAACCATATGTAATTGCGTGAAAATTACATTTTTCTCCCCCAACAAAAAGGATTACTCGTGGTATTTATGCGAATTTGGTAAAAAGCTTCATTTCTTGAAGATATTCACTACTCTATATGTGGTAGAAAGATATCTTTCATTACTCGTGACAAATTTATCCTCTCTTAGCTTCCATTAAATTTTATTGTGAAATTGCTGAGTTGGCTGACACATGGCAATAACTCAATTGGCATAACAAGTCCACGTGAAAATTCATATCAGTTTAGGGTAAATTTATCACAAGTGTACTAGTTTAGGATTTTTGGTAGCCTAAAAATTAATTAGAGTTAAATTTGCCAATGTAGGGTTTTTGGTGACCCAAAAAGTAGTTTGTACTAATTTTGGATTTTTCATTATATTAATTCTTTTAACTGATACGATGCTCAAGTGAGCATTGTGCGGAAATTATATAGTTGCGATGTCCTTTCCTCGATATTTAACTCTTAATCATTTGATTTGTCCAAGTAATATCCCGAAATAAATAAGTTAGCTATCACAATCCCATCAATGTGCCAGAGGTAAGAATTCTAGATTAAAATCACAAGCTTACTTATAGCCCTATTTCGTGATGAATTTAATTAAGAAGTGTTCTTAAGGCACTCGATAAAAAAGTATTAATTATGCGATGAAATTTGTGTTTTTATCTACGGCATGTTAAAAAAGAATAAGTTTGCAAATCTCTATATATAAATATATGTCGAACATATTTTTAGGAAAAAAGCCATAAAAAATCATAAACTATGCTCACTATGACACATTTACCTTAAAATTTTTCTTGTGATATAAAAAATTTAAACTTTTACTTATATAACACATTTACCCTCCGTCAAGGTTCCATTAGATGATTTTTCAATTGAAATAACGTCGTTTTTATTTCACTTAAATGTCACATACGATTTGATTTTTGGCATCCATGTAAATAGATTTTTAACACTTCTTATTAACGGAACTTCAATCGAGGGTAAATGTGTTACATAGTTACAAGCTTGAGATTTTTTATGTCACAAAAAAAAATTTAAGGTAAATATGTCACAGTGGATATATTTATGATTTTTGATGATTTTTCCCTTTTTTAATCTTCATACTATTATCAAGATTCTTTTGTGATTTAGGGTTCGAGAATCGAAAAAGAGTTTGGAGGCAAGATCTCAACTTTTTATCATGTGTGGTGGGTAAAGTGTCAAAGGGTTAATATCACGAAAAATTTCAAACCGGTACATTTGTGATAAATTTACTCCAAACTAATTTTTTGACAACCAAAAACCCTAAACAGGTACATCTGTGACAATTTTACCCTCCGCTAGTTTCCATTAAATTTTATCGCCAAATTTCTGAGTTTGATGATATGTAGCAGTTGACAGGTGTACCAGTTTGAGGTTTTACTCTCCGTTTGTCATAAGTGTACCGGTTTGTGATTTTCGTTGTACTAATCCAATTTAACGGAAGGTAAATTTGTAAAAAATGTACCGATTTGAGATTTTTGGTGGTCGAAAGATCAATTTAGTATAAATTTATCATAAATGTATCAATTTATGATTTTTCGTGGTATTAACCCAAATGTAAAAACAATTAAGTAAAGTCGTCTTCCCAAGAAACAAAGATTCTCCGAAATCCTCACACTTATATATATGTATGCAAAGAGTTCAGATATTTTATCAGATTCTCCTCAAGCTCTCGCACCGTCGTCGTCGCTGTCGTCGTCGTCGTGCTCTTCTCACTTCCTCTCTCTCTCTCTCTCTCTCTCTCTTTCTCCGACTTTTCGCCGCGACCCATCTTTCAAGAAAATGCGTGCCGCGCCATCCCCGCCGGAGCTCTCCTTCGGGTTCTCTCGTCACGGCGAGACCACCCATGTCTCCATGGCCTCTCGCTCCGTCAAGAACCGTGGCGTCCTCGCGCTGAGACCCAGTTTCGCTCGGGGCTTCGGCGTCGGCGTGAACCTGCTCAAGTGCCGGTGCGGCGGGAGCGTGAGCGAGAAGCCCGCCGCCGCCGGGGGCGGGGGCGGCGGTGGCGGTGGGGAAGTGTTCTACGCGACGTCGTCGAGCAAGTGCGACGTCGACTACCTCGGGGAGAGCACGAAGGGCGATTTGAACGTGAAAAGGGAGCACCTTGAGGCTTTCGGTGGGTGTTTTCGGTTGGCTTGTGTTGTTTGCTTGGGGAGGGCCGTGAAGTGATGGTTGTGTGGGGTGTGTTTTGTGGGATTGGAATTCTGAGTTCTTGCTTCTTCTTTCTTTCCCTTGCTTTTGTGTTTCGTCTCGGGATTGTTGCCTGTGTGATTTCAGTCTGGTTTTGTGTGCAGGAGTTGATGGTCAGGTCACATTAGAAGGCCCAATTGAGGAAGTGGCCAAAATGGAAGCTGATGAAGCTGAGGATCTATTAAGAAAATTGGGTATTCCTGTTAGTCGTGCTGTCTCTCTCTCTCTCTCTCTCTCCCTCTCAAGTTCTTTTCTTTATCAAGTGTCAATTTCACTTCTTTATCTACTTGAAGTTAATGCCTGAACATGTGACACGACCCATTTGGACCATATGCACTTTAGGCTGCTTATGTCTCTCTCATTGGCTCGTGGTCTCAGATTCCATGCTTGACATGAGTCCATTTCCTCTGTTTTTAGCATGATATAAGGTCCTGCTTAAGTGCTACAGGAGTGTTAAAAAAATGGAGAGTGGTTTCAAATTCTAAGAGCAAGCAGTCATTCAACACAGAAGCATGTTAATGTAAATAATTCACATTCAGCTGCTCATGCAAAATCCAAATATGAAAGGTGTTACACCTGTTGCACCGTGCTGTTCAAGTTTTATCATGTCCAGTGAATGTTTCATATTGGTGTTTGAATTTCCAACGTTTGACACTGAGTAAATGTGCTATATATTAGTGACAAATGTACAGAGTTTGTATAGCTTGACATGTTATGCTTGTGACATAGAAACAAATTGCCAACCCTGGCTAAAGTGGATTTCCTCATTATAAATCATGACATCTGAGATGTTGTTTTCCTGCCAGTTAATGCAATTGTGTTCTAATTTAATTTCTACCTTTCTATCTATATTGAACATTGTGCTGTGAATTGTGATCTGCCTCACATGGATCTATTTCCGTGGGCTTGATTTATTGCAAAGGATGTTCCATAGGCCCGTGGCCTGGGGGATAGTTATTGCTAATGCTTATGCTACAAATTCTTGCAATGTGCAGAGTCCTTTTCTGTGTAGATATTCTCCTCGTGGAATATTTTGTACCCGTACATTGAATCTTCGATCTATAAGTGCCATTGGCTACGACATGGACTACACTTTGATGCACTACAATGTGATGGTAATCTCTATTCCCCTATACATATCAAGATTGACCGGGAGAGATTGTTAAAACCTGTAGTCTATGTGATTTAACAAACCATATCCTGAAAGTAGTTTATCTATAATGTTACTAGTCGTAGAGATCTTTAAGCCAACTTAGAATATAGAACTTACTAATTACTTTAATTTGACTTTTGTAATTTTAGTTGTCTACCATGAAAGTTTTTGCAAGTGTTGAATCCTTAGGGATAGTCTTTTATTTTATTTCTCTAGTTTTACCTGTTGTATAGTTTCTTCTCACATCGTATTCTGACAGGCATGGGAAGGGCGTGCTTACGATTACTGCATGGAGAATTTGAAGAACATGGGTTTTCCTGTCGATGGACTATCATTTGACCCGGACTTGGTGAGGATCTTCCTCGGTGATGACAGCTCTTCAGTTTACAGGATCCATCTGCTGGAACTAAGTTTTTCTGATGAACTTCTGTCATTAGGTAATCAGAGGTCTGGTCATAGACAAAGAACGTGGTAATTTGGTTAAGGCTGATCGGTTTGGTTACGTGAAGAGGGCCATGCATGGCACACAGATGTTATCTACCCGAGCTGTGAGGTAGGGTTTACACTATAAAGTCCATTGACAAATTTAAAATCGGCAGGATGGTTGCCTTTCTTTGTTAAGTGACAACTTATGTTGGAGAATACGAGTCAAATGATTATATCTTCCATATGAGCAAATTCAATGGGCTATTATGTCTCCAAAATCTATAGAGGCACTGCAAGGAACTAAAGAAACCAAACATGGCTCTTTCAAGCAGATTATCTAGATTCGTCTATAGGTGTGCCTTATGATTATATCACAAGTATCAATCCTCCTTTCCATAAGTTTTGAATCTCTCTTCTGCTGTAACTTGATTAGTATTTCTGACATCTATTCGCTTTGACTCATTGAAGTGAGATTTACGGGAGGGAACTGGTGGATTTGCGGAAAGAAAGTCGATGGGAGTTCCTCAATACGCTTTTCTCCGTCTCAGAAGCTGTGGCTTATATGCAAGTAATTTTTGCAATAATCATCATACTGTCTAATATTGTGTTTGAATCTTATAAAAAAGCCATCTGTCTTCAGGCAGAAAACTTCTTCAGCACACTGAATGTCCTATTTTCATTTGCTTTTGTCCTTTCTTTGGGTAGAATTTATGTTGTCAGCTGAACCGCACCTTTCCATTGATCTAACTTTTTCTGCTTCTCTCATTATGTTGAACTCTTGATAGCTTGTCCATTTTCAATACTTCTCTTCCTGCCCCCTCCCCCACTTCTTCAGTTTTATAGTACTGAATAACTCTTTATTCCTTGCCAAATTTGAGAGGCAGACATTTTTCCCAATATGAAACTCTTGTTAACATATCTTTGGGTGCTACCAGATGGTTGATAGATTGGATGATGGATCTGTAGCAGCAGAAGTTGGTACGCTCGACTATAAGGGGCTTTTCAAGGCAATGTCCCTCTGTTTAGCTCTCAACAATGGTGAATTTTCATCACATCTCTTATTGACTCATGAATTGTCCTCAGGCCGTTGGAAAGGCTCTCTTCAGGGCTCATGTGGAAGGTCAGCTGAAGGTAATGACTATATGCGTGTGTGCATGGGCGTGTGTGTTTGCATGTACGCACGTGCATGTGCGCACGTACACACAAAGCCATCGATGTACTTCTTATGGTATTAGAGAAACTGACTGTTACTAGCATTTATGCAGAGTGAGATAATGTCTAAGCCTGAACTGTTTGTGGAGCCTGATCCGGAGCTACCTCTAGCCCTGTTGGATCAGAAGGAGGTATGGCTTGTTTCTGGCCCCCAATAAAGTAGGTGGAGATATTATACTCTCAATTTACTGTTCTCTTTCTTGCATCAGGCGGGTAAAAAGCTTCTGCTTATCACCAACTCAGATTTTCATTACACAGACAAAATGATGAAGCATTCCTTCAACAGATTTCTCCCTAATGATATGGACTGGCGTGATCTATTCGACATTGTAAGTGGATCCATTTCTGAGTACTTACTATTTGCTCTGGTTGCATTACATCATTAAGAGCTCTCAAGAAATAAGCTCTGGTCAAGAGTTTATTTTGCACGCACATAATGGAAGGGGAAAGTTCGTTTGTGGTGATTTTGAAAATTTTACCATCCAAATAATTCTTAAAGAAATCCAGCTGCTCTCTCTCATTCTTGGATATAGTTTGCATCTTGCAATAAAACGAAATATGCTGACTTTTCAGAATAACCACCAGACAATCAAGTGTGCACTATGTATATATACATCATTTTCTCGTATTGCAGGTTATTGTTTCAGCAAGGAAGCCTGAGTTTTTCCAGATGTCACATCCAATGTACGAAGTGGTCACTGGTGAGGGTCTTATGCGTCCTTGTTTCAAGGCTCATACAGGTGATCTATCTCCCATCCTTTTCAATTCGTGCCATGTGTTGTCAATGAGATGCTCATGTTTGGCATCGCAGTTTTATTGTTTGAAAGGCATCTTTCATTACTACCCTTGTTGTCATCAGTTACCAAAGAAATTGCTTATATATGCTAGAAAAAAGAAATCTAGAAAGGTTTGTGGACAGAGGAAAAGTTAAAGTAAATGAGGGTTTTTCATGCTGTTGCTTATAAGAAGTCCAGCATTAGTGACCCTTGCCATAACCGAGATGGCAAAATTTTCCTAGCACGGAGGGCATTGTTAACAGTATGTATTTTTAAGAGGGTGAAGTTTATTTTCCTAGTAGCAGAGGATAGTTAGGATGCCTTCATCATCATCAACAAATGGAGGAGATTTACTGCATTGCTAGTTAATTTTGAAGTTTATCCCATCAGATGCAGTAACGAAGGTGAAATTTCAATTGAATGACTGTTTCTTCAGTTGGGTCTTGTTATTTTTCACGTCGTACAAGGAATGCTTTTTGTAAAGAGTGCTAATTTGTCAGAAGTGAGCCAGAGAAAGCTTTTTTACCTTTTTTCTGAAAATGCCTTAGTATTCTATTTGACCTTGTGACAGCTTGCATTTTCTCCACTTATATGTTCCACTGATGCAGGGGGCTTGTATTCCGGGGGTAGTGCTCAAATGATAGAGAATTCTCTCGGTATACATGGCGATGAAATATTATATGTGGGTGACCATATATACACGGATGTCAGTCAGTCCAAAGTTCATTTACGATGGAGAACGGCATTAATCTGTCGAGAATTGGAGGAGGAGGTTAGTGACAGTGTACTTTATTATACTATATATGCATATCTGACCAAACTACACAAATATTTTTAGGAATTCATGATTTCTTCTTATTGGTCGTTCCTTTGTGGTCAGAGGCATAGTAATGCAGCAACATTCTTTGGAAAAAAAGAAAGTTTCAGCTGATGGGGATTTTATAATCTCATATAGTAGTCATAAATCGTAATGTTTGGAAATGTTTTTGGTCATGTATAAAGGTTTTCCATGGCTATGTTGCAATGCTTGCGTATTCTCAACTTTCGGTTTCTCTAACAAAGCTTTTGACACTACAGTATAAAGCTTTAATTCAAAGCCAAGATCACAGAGCCACGTTGATAGACTTCATAAACCAAAAAGAGGTGGTTGGGGATCTCTTTAACCAGCTTCGGCTCGCTTCACAGAGGCGAAATAAAGGGCGTCCAGCGCAGGTAAGTAAGGCTATTTAGCCTTTGTTCTTGGCGAAGCAACTATGTGAGCCCTAAAATACTGTTTTCTTCTTCTAACCTCTATAGTAGCTCCATTCGACATATCTATCTTCTTAAAGTTATCAATTATGAGGGTGATATCTTGCAATGTTGCACATCCTTGATCCGCTTTTCTCTGAATATCCAGACACTAGCTGCGACAAGCATGGAGGATCAGGAACTCACTGAAAGCATGCAGAAGTTACTGATTGTCATGCAAAGACTAGACGGGAAAATAGCACCGTTATTAGAAACAGATGGCGAGCTTTTCAATAGAAGGTGCGGCGCTTGATTGGCTTAAGTTGCAGAAACTATGATTCAATCATGATATATTTAAATAGTCAACTCGTTCATTTGTGCTCTCCCATCACAGTTGAGACGTTACAAAAGTAATTTGCTCGTTCTTGACTTGTCATTAGGTGGGGCTTTTTGTCGCGAGCAGGTCTATGGGATAAAAGCCACTTGATGAGACAAATTGAGAAGTACGTTTTGTCCCCTTTGAAATGCATTCCAATCCACAATCTTGTATAGGAGCAATCAAACTTCAAAGTCTCATGAATGTTTGGCTCAACATTAACAAACGCAGGTATGCTGATATATACACATCAAGAGTTTCGAATTTCCTAAACTACACGCCCTTCATGTACTTCCGGTCACAGGAACAGGTACCGTAATTGCCTCAGCTCTCTCATTTCCCTTTTTCTGCTTGGACTTGTGCTGACGTGGTTCATGTTCGTGTTCTTTTGATGCAGTCGCTCGCACACGACTCTTATTCTCAAAAACATGGGCCAATCAATGGGCTCTTGGTCGATAACTAAGATTGAACATGTCACTGTAGCATTATGATGAAGTCGGATTCGCGATAACTTTTATCATCAGAAAGGAGTATCCTCTTAAAGTCGCGGGAGACTCGGACTGCGGCTCAGAGGAGTGTGTATGTGCTTAAGAATAACAGTAATTGGTGTGAATAATGTACCTTGTACAATACAGACAATGGGTGAATACTACCTCCCGTAGTGCTACTTTGACCGTCTTCATTTAGGGAAAAAGAAAATAAGAACTATGATAAACAGCAGATGCTTGTATCTAGTCTAAACTTTTATTCAATCAATTATAGTAGAACTTACCCAACTTTTTATTCAAATCTCATGACAATCTTTTTTTTATTTATTGTATTTTGTATGTTCCTGAAAAGTAGGAATGTTGATGACTTCTCCATAATCTCATGATAGTTTTCAAACTGATGTAACTCGAGTGACAATATATGGGGAAGCATTCTTATATGGATTACATGGGTCAAAGTTTTTTCCATTCGACGGAAGAAATGTGTAATGTATTAGTTTGAGATTTTTTCATGGTTAAAAAATTAGTTTTGGGTAAATTTATCACAAGCGTATTTAGTTTGGGGTTTTTCGTGGTATTAACTTTATAAGTTATGGATATTGATAATAATGAAAATTGAGCGAAATTAAATGTATATAATATTCGTATTAGTGCTTCATCAATAAGCAGATTCAAAGAAATTTCTTCGAATTGGAGCTAGGAAACACAGCCCATCTTATGTTTATCCCGCTAAGTTTTATTCAAAAATTTTGAGGAATACATACCTCGGCTTTTTCCAAAATTGTTCAATTATCATGCGAGACGATAGCTCTTTTTTTTTTTTTTTCCAATTATTCAATGAAAACAAAAAGTAAATGTCACCCTTTCGCGACCCTCCGGCAAGATGGGTTTTTAGAGGTAATCTCGAGTTGGGAGTTGGGAACCAATGGTCCTCGATCGACTCGGGTTCTTCCAAATCCTGAACTCGCACGATGTTAGAAGATTCATTTTAAATTTGATTAATCCTCAGAGAATTCTATCATGAGAATTCTAAGAGTCCGACAATCAAAGTAAAAAAAATGATGAGGAATAGGACCACAAGTTAGAAAAGATTGAATAGCCAATTTGTGATCTTCGCAGAGAAAGAGATTAGAACCAAGCGAATCATCAAGTTCAAATCCAATAGTGGGTTCAAAAAACTGGAATACTCGATCATCGTCATCTTCGCGCCCCTTTTGTTCTCAAACTTCTTCGGTTTCAGTGGGTGCCTCGTTGTGCTCTATCGTGGCTTCAGGTTGGTCTGCTGCTTGATTAGGTGTTTCCTGGGTGGATGGCATGATAGGTTGAGGTAAATCCTCAAGAAGTTGCTCAATGAGCATCTGATGTTCAATAGCATAGGCTAATTCCTCCTAACTTTCAGTTCAGGATTCTTCAGTGGCTTTTTCCTTCCTTTATTGGTGCGAGAAGGTTCAGTCACTTCAATAGGAGTAGGGGCTGGTGCTCGACGTTCAAGTGCAGCATTGTCAGGACAGGGGCGACACGTGAGCTTTTGGGTCTTCGAGAACTCTTCGAACAGGTGCTGTAGAGTCAGCACTTGCTGTGGTGCCAAAGTGCTAGATTGAGCAGGTTCACTGGCGACTTGAGTAGGAATGGTCAAGACAGAGTACTAGAAGTAGAGGTTTATCCTTTAGTTCCAGATCGTTGAGAGGTGCCGGTCGTTGCTGATCCTCCATGTTCTCCAAGAACTTGAGTTGTGGGTACACTCATGCTTGGTGTCCCCTCTGAAGTTTCTTCCGGCTATTGTCTTTGGTCGATTTCATATGGTCCCTTGGGGGCTTTGGATAAAATGGTAGCAGCTCGAGTGGATTTGCGAGTTCCACTTTGTTTGCGTGAGGTGCGAGATTTTGGAGCCATTTCGAATTGATGAAGGGAATGGAGAAGGAATGGAAGTTGTAGTGGAAAGAGGATTAAGAAGATTACGAAGAGAGATGGTTGATTCGTGATTATCCTCAAGCAACCATTACGCCCACTCCCTCCCTATATATAGGAGCAGTAGGACATGATCGAAGTTACTCTACCATTTACAATAACAGTTATCTCTGATGAAAATTTCAAGAATTTCAGAGTTTCTTTCTCTAAAAGTCTCATTGAGTGTAATGAGAAACTCACTTAGAAAAAAATTCTAAGGCCACATGAGTAAAGGAATACTAGATCAACCAGCCCGTGACACAGGAGTGTAAGTGAGAAGCCCGCCGGGGTGGTGGCGGTGGGGAAGTGTTTTACACAATGTCTTCGAGCAAGTGCGACATCAATTACCTCAGAGAAAGCACTAAGGGCGATTTGAACGTGAAAATGGAGCACCCTGAGCTTTTGGTGGGTTTTTTGTTGGCTTCTGTTGTTTGCTAGAGGACGACAATGAACTGATGGTTATGTGGGCGTGCTTTGTGGCTTGGAATTTTGAGTTCTTGCTTCTTCTTTTTTCCCTAATTCTTGCTTTTGTGTTTCGTCTTGGGATTGTTGCCCAGTGATGGTGCTTTAGAAGGTGGGGTGTTGATTGGGAATCATGTGATTTCAATTGGGTTTTGTGAGCAGGAACTGATGGTCAGGTCACATTAGAAGGCCCAATTGAGTAAGTGGCCAAAATGGAAGCTGAGGATCTTTTAACTAAATTGGGTATACCTGTTAGTTGAGCCCTCTCTCCCTCTTAAGTTCTTTTCTTTATCATGTATCAATTTCACTCCTTTAACTACTTGAAGTCAATGTAGGAACATGTGACATGACCCATTTGGACCATATGCTTATGTCTCTCTCTTTGGCTCGTGGTCTCAGATTTTATGTTTGACATGAGTCCACTTCCTATGTTTCTAGCATGATATAAGGTCCTGCTTAAGTGCAAGTGCTACAGGAGTGTTAGAAAAATGGAGAGTGAATTCAAATTCGAATGGCAAGCGGTCATCCAACACAGAATCATATTAATTGAAACGATTCACATTCAGCCGCTCATGCAAAATCCAAATATGGAAGGTGTTACACCTGTTGTACTGTGTTATTTAAGTTTTAAAATGTCCAGTGAATATTTCATATTGGTGTATTTATTTCCAATGGTTTTTTTTTTTTGATAATCCGGACTCCCGCACCGGCCGCACTATAAGGGTCCGACCGGCCAGGCACCAACCGGAGGAGAGCTAATCTGACCCCACAAACTAGCCTCCATGTAAGTCAAGAGTATGACAAGGCTACGCGGCAGAGAGGACTCGAACTTGGGACCTGGGACCCCAAGTCCTACACCCTTACCAAGGCAGCCAACCTCTTGGAGGCTTTATTTCCAATGTTTGACATTGAGTAAATGTGCTATATTCGTGACAAATATACAGATTTTGAATAACTTGACACGTTATGCTTGTGACATGGAAACAAATTGCCAACCTTGGCTAAAGTGGATTTCCTCATCATAAATCATAAAATCTTGATCCAAAATAGGAAACCTATTCGTATTAGGAAACCAAATCCAACCATAAAAACTATTCAAATTAGGAATTTGAATTTGGAAAATTTCCTTTCCGAACTCAAAGTCAAGACATACTTTCAACAAGATTAAAAGGAGATCTATTGTTATAATTATAAATGTACTTGTATATATAGAGTCCCCTCCCATCATTTGTATAAGTTCAATCAAGTAATAGAATTCGATAGATTCTCTCTCTAAAAGTTTCTCTATCGCGAGTGTGGTGAGAAACTGACTTAGGAAGCAATTCTTAAGGCCACATCATAAGAAAACGTTAAATCAACCGGCCCGTGACACAAGAATACAAGTGAGAAGCCCACCGGGGTGGTGGTGGTGGGGAAGTGTTCTACCGACGTCGTCAAGCACGTGCAACGTCAATTACCTTGGGGAGAGCACTAAGGGCGATTTGAACATGAAAATGGAGCACCTTGAGGGTTTTGGGAGGTTTTTTTGTTGGCTTCTGTTGTTTGCTTGGGGACGACAATGAGATGATGGTTGTGTGGGTGCGTTTTGTGCGTTGGAATTCTGACTTCTTGCTTCTTCTTTTTTCCCCAATTCTTGCTTTTGGGTTTCGTCTTGGGATTGTTGCCTAGTGATGGCGCTTTAGACGGTGGGTATTGATTAGGAATAATGTGATTTCAATTGGGTTTTGTGTGGAGGAATTGATGGTCAGGCCACATTAAATGGCCCAATTGAGGAAGTGGCCAAAATGAAAGCTGATGAAGCTGAGTATCTTTTAACAAAATTGGGTATTCCTGTTAGTTGAGCTCTCTCTCTCTCTCTCTCCCTCTCAAGTTCTTTTCTTTATCAAGTATCAATTTCACTTCTTTTATCTACTTGAAGTTAATGCCTGAACTTGTGACACGACCCATTTGGACCATATGCACTTAACTCTGCTCATGTGATCTGCCTCACATGGACCTGTTTCTGGGGGCTTGATTTATTGCAAAGGATGTTCCATAGGCCCGTGGCCTGGGGGATAGTTATTGCTAATACTTTTTTTTTGCTAGAATAGTTATTGCTAATACTTACGCTACAAATTCTTGTAACGTGCAGAGTCCTTCTTTATGTAGATATTCTCCTCGTGGAATATTCTGTAGCCGTACATTGAATCTTCGATCTATAAGTACCATTGGCTACGACATGGACTACACTTTGATGCACTACAATGTGATGGTAATTTCTATTCCCCTATACACATCAAGAGTGACTGGGAGAAATTGTTAAAACCTGTAGTCTATGTGATTTGACGGAACCATGTCCTGAAAGTAGTTTTATCTAATGAGGTAACTAGTCGTAGAGATCTCTAAGCTAACTTAGAATATATAAGGTGCTAACCATGAAAGTTTTTGCAAGTGTTGAATCCTTGTGGATAGTCTTTAATTCAATTTCTCAAGTTTTAGCTGTTGTATAGTTTCTTGTCACATCGTATTCTGACAGGCATGGGAAGGGCGTGCTTACGATTACTGCATGGAAAATTTGAAGAGCACGGGTTTTCCTGTTGATGGACTATCATCTGACCCGGACTTGGTGAGGATCTTCCTCTGTGATGACAGCTCTTCAGTTTACGGGTTCCATCTGCAGGAACTTAGTTTTTCTGATGAACTTCTGGCATTAGGTAATCAGAGGTCTGGTCATAGACAAAGAGCGTGGTAATTTGGTTAAGGCTGATCGGTTTGGTTACGTGAAGAGGGCCATGCATGGCACACAGATGTTATCTACCCAAGCTGTGAGGTAGGATGGTTGCCGTTCTTTGTTAAGTGACAACTTATGTTGGAGAATACGAGTCAGATGATCATATCTTCCATATGAGTAAATTCAATGAGCTATTATGTCTTTAAAATCTTTTGAGACACTGCAGAAAACTAAAGATACTAAACATGGCTCTTTCAAGCAGATTATCTAGATTCGCCTATAGGTGTGCCTTATGATTATATCACGAGTATCAATCTTCCAAACTTGGATTTTAAGTTGGTTCCATATGTTTGGAATTTCTCTTCTGCTGTAACTTGATTAGTATTTCTGACATCTATTCGCTTTGTCTCATTGAAGTGAGATTTACGGGAGGGAACCGGTGGATTTGCGGAAAGAAGATCGATGGAAGTTCCTTAATACGCTTTTCTCCGTCTCAGAAGCTGTGGCTTATATGCAAGTAATTTCTGCAATGATCATCATACTGTCTACTCTTGTGTTTGAATCTTAATAAAAAGCCATCTGTCTTCAGCCGGAAAATATCTTCTTTAGCGCACTGGATGTCCTATTTTCCTTTGTTTTTTGTCCGCTCTTCAGGTCTAAATTTTTGTTGTTGGCTGAATCTGCATTTTCGCATTGATCTCACTGCTTCTGCTTCTCTCATTATGTTGAACTATTGACAGCTTGTCCATTTTCAATGCTTCTCTTCCCGCCCCCTCCCCCACTTTTTCAGTTTTTAGTGCTGAATAACTCTTGATTCCTTGCCTAATTTGAGAGGGGGACTTTTTCCCAATACGCAACACTTGTTAACATATCTTTGGGTGCTACCAGATGGTTGATAGATTGGATGATGGATCTGTAGCAGCAGAAGTTGGTCCGCTCGACTATAAAGGGCTTTTCAAGGCATTGTCCCTCTGTTAAATTCTCAACAATGGTTGATTTTCATCACATCTCTTATTGACTCATGAAATTGTCCTCAGGCCGTTAAAAAGGCTCTCGTCAGGGCTCATGCGGAAGGTCAGCTGAAGGTAATGGCTATATCCGTGTGCGCATGGGCATGTGTGTTTGCGTGTACATATATATACACACACAAAGCTATTGATGTACTTCTTAAGGCGTTAGAGAAACCGACTACTGCTAGCATTTATGCAGAGTGAGATAATGTCTAAGCCTGAACTGTTTGTGGAGCCTGATCCGGAACTACCTCTAGCCCTGTTGGATCAGAAGGAGGTATGGCTTGTTACTGCCCCCAATAAAGTAGGTGGAGATATCATACTCTCATTTTACTGTCATCTTTCTTGCATCAGGCGGGTAAAAAACTTCTGCTTATCACCAACTCAGATTTTCATTACACAGACAAAATGATGAAGCATTCCTTTAACAGATTTCTACCTAATGATAAGGACTGGCGTGATCTGTTCGACGTTGTAAGTGGATCCATTTCGATGACTTACTATTTGCTCTGGCTGCATTACATCATTAAGAGCTCTCAAGAAATAAGCTATGGTCAAGAGTTTATTTTGAATGCACATAATGGAAGGCGAAAGTTTTTTTTTTTTTTTTTTTATAACCCAGGGAACCCCCGCACGGCCGACAGCCGGGGAGTAAACCCTGGGGGCGACACGTGCTAGCCACCACACACGTGCCACCGGTTAAGTCACCCTGCGGCGCCCGGGATTCGAACACTCAACCTTTTGCGAGATGGAAGGCGAAAGTTCGTTTGTGGTGATTTTGAAAATTTCACCGTCCAAATAATCCTTAAAGGAATCCAGCTGCTCTCTCTCATTCTTGGATATAGTTCGCATTTGCCGACTTTTCAGAATAACCTCCAGACAATCAAGTGTCCACTATGCATATATACATCATTTTCTCGCATTGCAGGTTATTTTCAGCGAGGAAGCCTGAGTTTTTCCGGACGTCACATCCAATGTACGAAGTGGTCACCAGTGAGGGTCTGATGCGTCCTAGTTTCATGGCTCGTACAGGTGATCTATCTCCATCCTATTCAACTCATGCCATGTGTTGTCAGTGAGTTGCTCTTCTTCTGCAGCGTAGTTTTATTGTTTGAAAAGGCATCTTTCATCACTACCCTTGTCGTTATCAGATAACACAGAAAGTGCTTATATACGCTAGAAAAAATAACTCTAGAAAGGTTTGGGGATAGAAGAAAGTTGAAATAAATGAGGTTATTTCATGCCGTTGCTTATAAGAAGTCCAGCATCATGACTCTTTTGTGAATCGAGATGGCAAAAATTTTCCTAGCGTGGAGGGCATTGTTAACAGAATGTATTTCTAAGAGGGTGAAGTTTCTTTTTTCCTAGTAGCGGACAATAGTTAGGATGCCTTGATCATCATCAACACGTCGAGGAAATCTACTGCATTGCTTGTTAATTTTAATCTTATCCCATCAGATGCAGCAACGAATGTAAAATTTCACCTGAATGACTGTTTCTTCAGTTGGGTCTTGTTATTTTTTACGTGCTTCAAGTACAAGGAATGCTTTTTGTGAAGAGTGCTAATTTGTCAGAAGTGAGCCAGAGAAAGCTTTCTCCCCTCTTTTCTGAGGATGCCTTAGTATTCTGTTTGACATGTTGTGATAGCTTGCGTTTTCTCCACTTAAATGTTCCACTGATGCAGGGGGCTTGTATTCCGGGGGAAGTGCTCAGATGGTAGAGATTCTCTCGATATACACGGCGATGGAATATTATATGTGGGTGACCATATGTACACAGATGTCAGTCAGTCCAAAGTTCATTTACGATGGAGAACGGCATTAATCTGTCGAGAATTGGAGGAGGAGGTTAGTAACAGTCTACTTTATTATACTACATATGCATATCTGACCAAACTACACAAAAATATTTGTAGGAATTCACGATTTCTTCTTATCGGTCGTTCCTTTGCAGTCAGAGGCATAGTAATGCAGCAACAAATCTTTAGGATAGAAGAAAGTTTCAGCTAACATACAGTAGTCATGAATCGTAATGTGTAGAAATGGTTTTGGTCATGTACAGGAGTTTTCCATGGCTATGGTGCAATGCTTGCATATTCTCAACTTTCGCTTTCTCTAACAAAGCTGTTGACAGTGCAGTGTAGCGCTTTAATTCGAAGCCGAGATCACAGAGCCACATTGTTAGATCTCATAAACCAAAAAGAGATTGTCGGGGATCTTCTTAACCAGCTTTGGCTCACTTCACAGAGGCGAAATAAAGGGCGTCCAGCACAGGTAAGTAAGGCTATTTAGCCTTCTTTTGGCTAAGGAACTATGTGAGCCCTTTAATGCTGTTATCTTCTTCTAACCTCTGCAATAGTTCCATTCAACATCTCTATCTTCTCGTCTTTGGCCTAGTATCCAGAAGTTATTAGTTATACGGGCGATATCTTGCAATGTTGAATGTCCTTGATCCGCTTTTCTATGAACATCCAGACACTAGCTGCGACAAACATGGGCAAGCAGGAACTCACTGAAAGCATGCAGAAGTTACTGACTGTCATGCAAAGACTAGACGAGAAAATAGCACCGCTGTTAGAAACAGACGGCGAGCTCTTCAATAGAAGGTGCGACACTTGATCGGCTTAAGTTGCAGAAACTCTGATCCAATCATGATAAATAGTTGACTCGTTTGTTTGCGCTCTCCCATCACAGTTGCGACGTTACAGGAGTAATTCGCTTGTTCTTGAATTGTCATTAGGTGGGGCTTTCTGTCGCGAGCAGGTCTATGGGATAAAAGCCACTTCATGAGACAAATTGAGAAGTACTTCCTTTCTCCCCTTTGAAATGCAATCTTAATCCACAATCATATACAGGAGCAATCAAGAATCTCATGGTTTGGCTCAACATTTAACAAAATGCAGGTATGCTGATATCTACACGTCAAGAGTTTCAAACTTCCTACACTACACGCCCTTCATTTGCTTCCGGTCGCAGGAACAGGTACAGTAATCGCCTCAGCTTCTCTCATTTCCCCTTTTTCCTGCTCGGACTTGTGCTGACACGGTTCACGTTTGTGTTCTTTCGATGCAGTCGCTTGCGCACGACTCTTGTCCTCAAAAGCATTGGCCGATCAAGGTGCTCTCGGTCGATAACTAGGATCGAACGTGTCATTGCAGCATTACGATGAAGTCGGATTCGGCGGCACAGAGGAGTGTGTGCATGTGCTGAAGAACGACAGTAGTTGGTGTGAACAATGTACCTTGTACAATACAGACAATGGGTGAAAATTGCCTCCTGTAGTGCTACTTTGACCGTCTCCAACAGATGCTTGTATCTGGTCTAAACTTTTATCCAATCAATCCCAATAGAACTTACCTAACTTTTTATTCAAATCTCATGACAATCTTTTTCTTTTCTTCTTTTTTTTTGTATTTTGTGTGTTCCTGAAAAATAAGAGGAAATTTTTAATTGATGGGTTATAAGAACATCGCCGACATCGAAAGTCAAGCAAGAGAAAATGTCATATAATATCCATGTATGTAATTCATCAATCATAAAGCTGATTCAAAGAAATTTCATTAAATTTGGATGCGAAAAACACAACCCTTCATACGTTAATCCTGCTGAGTTGTATTCGGAAAATTTGAGAAAAAACATTTATCGCCTTTTTTCCAGAACCTGCTTGATTATTATGCAAGAAGTTAGCTTTTCTTTGTTTCCTTTTCGTTGAAATTATTTAGTGAAAACAGAAAGTAAATGTCACCCTGCTAAAAAGAGTTTTTTCACTCATTGAGACTGTTGTTCAATTTATACTATACATATTTATATAACAAAAACGTTCAAATAAGAAAATATAATCAAAGATGAAATGATAATAATAAAATGATCAATGTCCCTAAAAAAATCCTTGCTGTTTTGTTGATGAAAAATTACCGAAACTTTTTATTTATTTATACTACTTCATCATATTACATCAGTAAATTGCCCTTGATAAAAGACAATTTTTAGGGTTTTACTCCAAAGAAAAGAAAAGGCTTTGCAATGCTTAGGGATAATAATACAAATAATCACGAATGTTGGCCTGACATGCAATGTGATCCCTTCACTTTTAATTTGTTCAATATAGTCCGTGAATTTTACCACGGTATGCACTATGGTCCCTAAAATTTTAACATATTCAACGTGGTCCTCGAAATTTTGGTATATGTTTAATTTTGCCCTTGAACTATATGAAAATATTCAATGTTGTCCTTCCATTAACGAAATAAGATCGAACATTTTGACAGCCCGATGACTAAATTGAACATGTACAAAAAATTCAAGGACGGCATAACATATTAAGCTAAAGTTCAAATACCATATTTAACAAAATTAAAAATTCATGGATCGAATTTTACGCTGAACCAAAATTAAGGGATCATTCGTGTCATCTTTGCTTAATACACCTTAAAACAAGCAAAACGAGCCCTAAACCGTGACGTAGCCTCCTCCGTCTTCCTCCTCCTCCTCCTCCTCCTTCAGCCTCAGCCCCCTAGGGTTTCGAATCGCCTGCGCCATCTCCATCTCCTTCATCTCCTCCTTCATCTTCCAACGAAAGGGTCGATGGAGAACTTCGCGTACGGCTACCCAGTATCGCCTGAAATCGTGGGCTGACGCGCGATTCCGGTGAAACCCCACCCTGGTTTCGATCCTTCTTGCTGTTTGATTGGTCCTCGGCCCTCGGCCCTCGGACCCTCCTTGGGCCATGGCGGCGAAGAAGGTGATAGCGATATGCCAGTCGGGGGGCGAGTTCGTGGCCGACAAGGACGGGGCGCTGTCCTACGCCGGGGGCGAGGCGTACGCGATCGACATCGACCAGCAGACCCAGCTGGACGACTTCAGGGCGGAGGTCGCCGAGATGTTCGGCTGCGGCGCCGCCGACGCGATGACGATCAAGTACTTCCTCCCCGGGAACAAGAAGACCCTGATCACGATCTCCAAAGACAAGGACTTGCAGCGGATGGTGAGCTTCCTCGGGGATTCCGGCACCGTCGACGTGTTCGTGATGTCGGAGGAAGCCGCGGCCGGGAACCTGTCCAACATGCCCGCTAGTAGGTAGTGATTACTGGGTCCTCTCTATTTGTTCGGTATTGTGCAGCTGGGTTGTCAATCCGACATTTTGATTTTCCGATGAGTTGTGGTGATTGAACTGGACATTGTGATGTTACCCTTGTGAACTGATGCCAACAATGAGAATAATTGCTGTATGTGTTGAAGGGTCTTAGGCTGAGATACTTGAGGCGCTTGGCTGTGCAGGTCGAGCAGGACGACGGTGTCGGAACAGGTGGTTCCACTGGTCGTGCCCGTCGATGCGGCGTACGATATGACCAACACGAGCGACCGGCTTGACTTGGACGTGTGCGATGGGCGGCCTCTATGCAGCATCCCCGCGAGTTCCAGTGATGAGAAGCATCGTAGAGCCGCGACGCAGTGGGAGAATACCATCACGGGTGTGGATCAAAGGTTTAATAGCTTTAGCGAGTTCAGAGAAGCCTTGCATAAATACTCGATAGCGCATGGCTTCGCTTACAGATATAAGAAGAACGACAGTCATCGTGTTAGCGTGAAATGCAAGTCCGAGGGTTGCCCGTGGCGGATATATGCGTCTAGGCTAGCAACGACTCAGTTGGTTTGCATCAAGAAAATGAATGCGGAGCATACATGTGAAGGAGCCACTGTTAAAGCTGGGTATCGGGCAACAAGAGGCTGGGTTGGGAGCATTATAAAGGAAAAGTTGAAAGTTTCTCCGAATTATAGGCCAAAAGACATTGCTGATGATATCCGGAGGGAGTATGGTATTCAATTGAATTATTCTCAAGCATGGCGTGCAAAAGAAATTGCGAGGGAGCAGCTTCAAGGCTCCTATAAAGAGGCTTATAAACTTTTGCCCTTTTTCTGTGATAAGATAAAGGAAACGAATCCAGGCAGCTTCGCTTCCTTTACAACCAAGGAGGACTCGAGCTTCCACCGTCTATTTGTCTCATTTCATGCCTCGATATCCGGCTTCCAACAGGGTTGTCGCCCTCTTCTGTTTCTCGATAGCACAGTTCTTAACTCAAAATACCAGGGAATGCTCTTGTCTGCTACGTCTATTGATGGGGACGACGGAATATTTCCTGTAGCTATTGCCGTAGTAGATGATGAAACTGAGGATAACTGGCATTGGTTTCTGCAAGAGCTGAAATCTGCAATTTCCACCTCTCAGCAGATCACTTTTGTTGCAGATTTTCAGAATGGATTGAAGAAATCTCTGGCTGAGATATTTGACAACTGCTGCCACAGCTACTGCCTGCGCCATCTCGTTGAAAAACTTAACAAGGATTTGAAGGGGCAGTTTTCTCATGAAGCAAGGCGATTCATGATTAATGATTTTTATGCTGCGGCTCATGCACCAAGGCTTGAGGGGTTTCAGCGTGCAGTTGAGAACATAAGGGGTATTTCTCCCGATGCTTACGATTGGGTTGTACAGAGTGAGCCGGAGCATTGGGCGAATGCGTTCTTCGCCGGAGCAAGGTATAACCACATGACATCAGACTTCGGGCAAGAGTTCTATAGTTGGGTATCAGAGGCACACGAACTGCCGATCACACAGATGATTGATACTTTACGAGGAAGGATGATGGAATCCATATATGCACGTCGAGTTGATTCCAGTCAGTGGGGGTCGAAGTTAACCCTGTCTATGGAGGAGAAGCTCCAAATGGAAGCTTCACTGTCGCATTCACTTCAGGTGTTACTCTCGGAAGGTAGCACCTTTGAAGTTCGTGGAGATTCTGTTGATATTGTCGATGTCGATCATTGGGACTGCAGCTGTAAGGGATGGCAACTGACAGGTTTGCCCTGTTGCCATGCTATTGCCGTCTTCGACTGCATCGACAGAAGCACTTATGACTTCTGCTCCAGATACTTCACGGTCGAAACTTACCGCCTTACCTATGCTGAGTCAATAAACCCCGTCCCGAACGTAGATAAGCCGGTTTTGAGCGAATCGGCTGAAGCAGTTGTTACCGTGACTCCACCTCCTACGAAACGGCCACCTGGCCGGCCGAAGATGAAGCCGTTTGAATCGGTAGACCTGATTAAACGCCAACTCCAGTGCAGCAAGTGCAAAGGCCTTGGCCATAATAAAAAGACGTGCAGGGCCTCTCCCTAGTCCACATTGTAAGATAGAGTAAGCAAATATTCTCCTCTGGAGGGTTACTCTGTTTCCAAATCCAAGAATTATGTTATCTGCCAGGCTAATGTAAAGAAATTCTTTTCTATGCTAAATGAACTTAAATGTGGTTTGGAACAGGATCCGGGGTTATCCACTGAACATAGGACTGATTGCTGTGGAGACATGGGGAAACACAGAAACCGCGATGCTTGGTGGTTGGTGAACTGCATTTCAAGAAAGAAAGATGTAAATGCTGTATTTGAATTTTGCTTCTGATTGTTAGAGATAGATCTCAAAACACTTTTCTTAGGAATCTAGGAGTCCTTGAAGCTTCTTGCCAGTCAAGTTTTTTACTGTTCTTCTTGCAGGTAGGCAGAGAAATAGCTATTTATCCTATTGAATTCGATCCATTTGTTTTTCCCTGCACTTGGAAATAACTTGTGCTTGCTCATGCCTGTCTAAGACATGCATTTGCTTTGAGGGTTTTAAGACTTGTGTTGGAAAGAAGGATATCATCGTCTCTTTTCTTTGCTGCCTTTTCACTGTTTTGAGGTCATTATTTCTTTTCTGGGTTTTATAAGTTTGGATCCCTTGACTTTAATCTTAAGCTCAGGCAACAAGTTTGTTCCGGTATTAGGCTCCGTTTGGTATTCGAAAAACATTTATCTAAATATTATCACTTGAATTGCTTATAAAAGTGAATGAATGAAAAATATTTTCATTGAAACCATCTTGATCTTTAATCTTATGTTGTGAGCAGAGCATAATTTGAGAGCAAGTGGATACGATAATCAAATCACTAGATGTGACACGACAATCGAATCTCTTTGATCATCACGGGAGGATCACTCACCTCACTATACTATCGAAAGAAAGGGTGTGCAAAACGGACCGCCCAAATCAGGATCTACTCAGAACGAACCGGCTGGTTTGGTCAGGTTCCTGAGAGAGTCGGTCTAGTTCCTGCTTTCTAAAAGTGGGACCGATGTCTAGGCGGTCCGGTTCCCGGTTTCAAAGAGAACCGGACTGACTACACATACCTTTTTTTTTTATTTCTTCAAAAAAACTAGTAAAATACGAATCAAACTCTAAGTGTAGCACGTTTTTTTTATTTGTCTTCACTTAATTCAACACAAAAAGATAATATCAAATAGTGGGAAAAAAAATAGTGACCGGTTCCATTGGACCGGACCAGAACCAGTGGTCTAGTCCAGTTCCCCGTTTCACCTCGGAACTGGATCGGACCGGGAACTGATCACCTCTAATCAAAAGTGTCATATTCGATCTTTCCATAGTGCAATAAATTTCGATTAGTAAGGTTGCTACTTGCTAGGAATGTAACGGCAGAGTATTTCGTCTTCACTTTTGTATATACGTATCTACAAATGTAGGAATACCCTTTCTTTTTAACGAATTATAACGTGAAAAGGTGGGATCAAAGAAGTTTAATTTTGGTACTGAAAGCGAATACAACGAGAAATTCTCGTTAATAATCTTCTCTTTAACGCAACTTTTTGTGCCTAGGATTATATGCACCCTGCGGGGAAGCACTAGAAAGTGCTTCCTCCGTGCCTCGCTTGACCTGCCGAGACAGCAAGCCAGAACATGGAGCCGACACTTGGAAACGTCCGACACGTGGCAAGCCCACGGCATCCCCCTCGCCACGTGGCTAGACACCTGTCGCGTGCCATGTCCCCACTATCTTTTAGGGGCTAGACACCTGTCGCGTGCCATGTCCCCACTATCTTTTACCGCCTTTTGTACACGCTTTAAAAAAACCGATGCACCTAAAGTTATGTCCCTCTGCGAACATCTCCGAAGACTAGAAGGAAGAAAACTTCCAAAAACTTGTAAACTCCGTATTGGTTTTGTTGCATCCATTCATGGCTTCAGGAAGGCCCTTTTGGCTCTTTGTGATGGCCGTTGCGGTGGCGTTGGCGGTTCTCGCCCCCGGATGCGGCAGCACCGGGGTCGGGCACATGCCTTCGACGAAGGAGGAGGGCGAGGCCTTCAAGGAGTTCAAGGTGAAGACGGAGCGAGCAGGCGAGAAGGCTGCAGATGCCGGGAAAGAGGCGAAGGAGGCCTTGGAGACGTGGACCGAGTGGGTGAAGGAGAAGCTCTCGGAAGGTCTGGGGTTCAAGCAGGACGAGACCAAAGAGAGCGCCGCGAAAAGAGCCTCTGATAAGGCCGCTGATACTGCCAAGACCGCCAAAGACAAGGTCCAGGACATGGCCTCTGGTTAGTACGATGATTGTTGTTGCGTTCGTGAACTTTACTTTCCAACTTCATGCGAATCGTCGGTTATGGTGTTGATGTTGAACACTTCGAAACTTAGATTTTTGTTTCAAATGTTATCATGAGTAGGAGCTGGTCACTATGCAGCAGAGAAGGCCAGCAACGTGAAGAACACGGCATCCGAGAAAGCTGAGGAAGCCAAGAGAGCTATGGCCGAGAAGTCAAGCGAGCTGAAGGACACGGCCGCCAAGAAGGCTGAGCAAGTCAAGAATGCGGCTAAGGAAAAGACCGAGCACATCAAGAACACGGCGAGTGCCACAACCCAAGAAGCAAAGGAAAAGGCCGAGTCTGCCGCCAAAACGGCAGCAGAGAAGGTAGAAGAGTCGAGGGAGAAGGCCGCGGAGAAGGCAGAAGAGTCGAAGGAGAAGGCGGCACAGAGGACCGTGCAAGCAAAAGAGAAGGCAGCCAAGGCAACCGAGCAAACGAAGCAGAAGGCATCCGAAATGACGGCACAAGCGAGGGAGAAGGCTGCAGAGACAGCAAAGAGGGCCTCGCACGAGGGGAAGAGGAAGCAAGACGAGGCCGAGGAGCACTTGAGCTGGGCCAAAGAGAAGGCCAAGGAAGGCTATGAAGCGGCCAAGGCCAAAGCCAGCGAGACGCTTGAAGCCACGAAGCACAAGTCTCAGGAGACCAGGGACACTTTGGCCGGCAAAGGCCGCGATGCAGAGGAGCTTTGACAGAGACTGATTTGGCGGCTTCTCTGATGACATTTGGGTTATTTTTCTTGAAGATCGTAAGGGCTCTATGAGTTTGGCAAGTACATGTTGATGTGTTTAACCAAGGATGTCCATGTTTTCTTGTATACTTTTTGATGTTCAATAACACGAGAACTTTGGTACAACAAAATGTCTTCCTAAAATGCTTGACCTTTTGGTTAGTGCAATTCTCCAAATGCATGAATCATGTCTCAACATAACGAGATAGGCTGAGAGCAAACGTGGGGAAACTCTATCATCCGTCTTGGCCAGTGTCATGAGAAGTGGTCGAGCCTCAGCTGAGTAGTTGAACTTGATAAAGACCAAAGAGAAGGCTGATCTGTATCAGCCAAATGCTTATATAATCAAAGTGAATTAGAATGGTTGTACACGGGTTGACAATCTACATTCGCAGATGTCACTATATGCAGAAGCAAATGCTTTTGTTGACAATCTACAAAGGGGTTGACAATCTCTGTCGTTGTTGACAAGTACAGGTACGTATCACTAGTATCTACAAGAGAAGAGCAGTTACCAGCTTTTAACTATTGCTGGGGTTCTTCGGCAGTGGTCGGGATTAGCCCGGCGATGTCATCCATGTGAAGCTTCTCGTTCAGCATCGCCTTGTATTCGTCGTCTCTGTCTTCCAGACTCCTCATTAGTTCAACCTGTGTGCAGAGAAACATCAAACCAAGGACCCCTTAATCTGGCTATGTTGTAACTTCAAGTGATGGGTAAGATGAAGCATGATATTTTAAGACAAGAATGCATAGCAAGCGAGCAAGAACGATTAAGCACGCATGAAAGAATGGAAAGAGGGGTGAAAGGAAGTCGGAAACGAGCCGGCGGCACATCTGGCTGCTGCGATAAAGCATGCAGGCACAGAGAGAATGGATAGAAAAATCTTCGAGACATGATCATCGTCATTGGATTTGGCAATTACAGAGAGAACGGATAGAAAAATCTTCGAGACATGATCATTGTCATTGGATTTGGCAATTCGCATAGACGTAGCATAGTTAAAACGATCGTTCATGAGTGACTCATTTAACGAGACAACAAAGAAACCTGCCTTAACACACTCTCTGTTTAGTTAGTTAGATATGTGCTTACCGCAGAAATCGCAAGTGAAGCCGTGGAAGGGAGAGGAAGATTGTTACCTGCTTTTGGAATGCGTCGAACTCGTCGGAGCTCAGGGAACCATCACTGTTGGCATCGAGGAGCTGCATCATCTCTCGCGCATCATCCCCAGGGGCTCCGAGCTCTTCCATCACTTCCGTGAGTTCTTCTATGCTGATCCTACCATCTCCATTCTTGTCAAGAAGGCAGAAGACGCGATCTCTCCGGTCAATCTCCATTTCCTTGTGATTCAGTGATGGGAGGTCTTGAAGGCGCATAGCAGCGAGCTCTGCCGCAGCCAACATTATCGCCTTCAGCCGTTTTGCCTGAGCATCAAAGAGAGAGAGAGTCACTTCTTTGTCGAGGCGCCTCTCATGCCATTGTTTACAAACATGAAAAAGTAGAAATGCATACAAGAGTAGAATACAACCTCCTCAGGATCGGTGAGTCCGCTTTTATAAAAAGAGTGAGATGCTGTTCCGCCGGCTGCCAACATGTCCATCTCCGTAGTCCGTATCTGTATTTCCATCAATGGTCGAGCTTGGCCATTCTCGCTCACATCGACGGCCATGTGTAAGCTTTGATAGCCATTAAATTTGGGCCTCGAGATGTAGTCTTTTGTTCTGTGAGGCATTTCTTTCCACAAACTCTGGACAATTTCCCGTGTTCTGTAGCACGCTCTTTCGCCTGTCTCAGTCATATCTGGTCCTGACTTTGGCTTCAGTATAACTCGCAAGCCTAGAATATCATTCACTTCCTCTGGTTTCCTCCCATCTCGCAAGAGCTTCTTCATAGTGCTGTAGCGGCTCTTATATCGACCTAGAACCAAAATATCATCCACCATATTGGCCAGAAGGGAATCATCCCATAAAGATTGAAGCAGCTGCTCTTTGTAAATTTCTATCAAGGGCTTGCTTCCAGTTTCATGGCTTCTTAACCATTTCTCAACATAGAGGTAGGAGTAAGGGAACAGGTACTGGAACGAGAGATCCTCTAGCTCCAGAGATAAGAAGTCAGTCCTCAGTGCATGTGCTAACGGCGCATGCACTTTCATGACCTCAAGAGAGACAATTTGCTGTTGATACCTCGGCAGGTAATTCAAATGCCTCATCATATCGAGTTTCAGAGCCAGGTCGAGAACCACGGCTCTTGTATCGTAGAATGTGAGGCAGAATTTCCTCAGGGCAGCGGCACTTTCATCATCCAACACATCAACTTTCGAGGGGAAGTTCTTGACTCGCAAGCTCTCGTGCAGCAGATGAGCTGTCCCCGTGCCAATCCGGTCTCTCACTTCATGGATGGACACCGCTCCTGCTTCAAGAACTTCTCTGAGGATGCCGGCTGATATTACCTCCGCATCCATCTATCATTGTACATGATAGGGAGTAGAAAAACAAAGCTGCTTTACAATTTCATCTCGGGAAGAATATGCAGAAGGAAGGTTGAAAGCCAAGTGAAAGATTCTGAGACAAGAAGTTAAAAAAATGCCAATTTGAATGGATGGTATTCATATATAGCAAGGTGTCAGTCTGAAGTAGACATTTGATGTATTGTTACAACGCAGATTTACTAGCTTGCAGGAGAACTCTTATCTTTTCTCAAACATGAGTCCTGACAGCGCAATCTAACACTACAAAACTTGAGATTCTGAGAAACTCACTAAGCCCCAATGAGGCCAGAAAATCTCCAACAGGGAGACTACACCTGAAGAGAACAAGATAAGTCACCAGCATGATTGACTGGGCATAAACATACAGCAACTTGAAAATGAGGCTCACCCAACCCCCTCGGCCACTCGGCTTTGGTGCAACTTGAAAGAATGTCTACAAAAGAATACGAAATTGCGTATAGAACTTCCGCATTTCGCTTCCCCTGAAACTAGACTATTGCAGAATTTCTCTTTCTTTACTAATCTCGCCCCCTCCCCCCCAAAACAAATCAAGTTTTTGATGGCCCACTGCTGTTGCATTACATAGATCGCGTGCGGTCGCAATGCATAATGTCAATTACTATGAATCAATAAGCTATCACAAAATGAACTAATAGAAGCTAAAAAGTAAAGGATACCAAGCTCAATCACGATCATCGGAACACAAACCCACGAAGAGAAATTTTCAAGAACCTGAAGATCGGCGAGAATGACGGCGACGCTGAGAGCCCTCGAGAGAGGAGGGCGGCCGTCGGGGCCGAGAGGCGAGCTCTGCAACATGGGGATGGCGAGCTTGAGCGCCTTGAACAGTATCCGGGAGGACCTCGTGGACAGCGACACCCCGCTCTTCATCCTCTCCGTCAGCTCGTTGAACGCCCCCACCAGCTCCACCACCATCTTCCCCCCCGCGTGCTCCAGCGCCACGGCCGCGTTCTCCGCCGGCGGCGACGAGACGCAGGCTCCCGCTCCTCCCGCAGCCGCCGCCGCCGCCGGAGGAGCCCGTCGGGACGGGGAGCGGGCCTTCGGGCAGAGAGGGAAGATGGGTGTCGGGCGGGGGGTCGAAGGAGCGAGCTTGGCGAGCCGGAGGTCGTGCGGAGCGCAGCGGAGCTCCATGCGGAAGACGACGATGGCAAGTGGCGAGTGGCTCCTGTGGCTGCGCTTTGTTTGTTTGTTCAAGGTGGGATTTTTAATCATTTCTAGTCTTGCCCATTAACCTTCGACACTGTCTGTGCGCGTGAATCTTGAACGAAACAAGAACATGGCCGTCGCTGGTTTCTGTTCTCGCCAAAAGTGTCCAAACAAGAAGGCCTCAAGCCCAGCCCAAACGACTAAGACATCTGTCCCCTCTAAAACCCTACTGCAAAAATCTCTCCTTTCCTTCTTCTTCTTCACCTTCTTCACCTTCTCTCTCTCTCTCTCTCTCTCTCTCGCTCGCGTGCATAGACACTTCCATGTCCACCACTGCCAGTCAATACCCATAACTTCTTGGTGCCTTTGCAGTCAACACTTCCATCACCGCCGCCTTAAAGCCACGTCCTTGGCCATGTCGGCCCTCTCGAGAGGCCTCATTTCTCGCTTCCGAGCTCTGTCCATCCTTAACCCGACCTCCTCGTCCTCGTCCTCGTCCTCGGCTGAGCGCTTGGTCAGGGGGCTCAGCGCGGAGGCCCTGCTCAGCCCGGATTCGGGTCGCGTGATCGAGGCGGCCTCGGGCGTGATGAGCCCCACCTCGAAGCGGACGGGGATCATAGCGGTGAAGTGCGGGATGACGGCGCAGTGGGATAAATGGGGGGCGAGGGTACCGATGTCCGTGCTTTGGGTTGATGATAACATCGTGTGCCAGGTGAAGACTGTCGAGAAAGAAGGCTTTTTTGCTCTACAGGTGCGAGTTCTCGTGAATGCACTGTCCGAATTAGAGGCACACTGTTCTTTTTTTCTTCGGGATTTGTTTGCTTTTCGTAAATTTGACGTGATACTATGGAGGTGAGTGTGTGGTATTAACATGGAAAGCTTAAGAAGGAATGTGGATAGTGGAACACTCTTGGCAAGGTTCGAGCTTTTGGGTCTCTGATTGGTTGAGTTCTTCATTAAGAATGGTTCAATTGATCCGTCAGTGCTGCTCTTCTGTATACTTATGTTAAAAATTTCATGACTTGTTCAGAACAGTGTGCTCATCTGATGATTTTAATTGGGGAGGTATTCTTTTTAAGCTGGACTATGGGGATAAAGCAATGGTTCATAATGGATACCATGTCCTAAAGTCCTTGCCCAATTAGTAACAGTATGCTCGTGGACTTGCGATGTCTGAGTCACTTAATGTCTTTATTAAAACTGGTACTGGTGAAAGTTGTAGGTTTTACTGGAGAGTACAATTGGCTGTCTTAATGACAGTTAAAACAATTTTTTGATCTGGCAAAAGAGGACTATTGAGGGGAGCAACTATTATTTTATTTCCAACCATCTTTCCCTTTACTTGTTTTGCTGGTAACCGAACTGGCACTGTGTATGTGTTTGCTCTCCTTTGTTTCAAATAGTGGTTGGCAGCTAAACATTGTGGCTGCAGCTGATGCTTGCCTGTAGAGATTTCATGGTTTGGTTACTAATTGTAAAGTGGTGTATTCTTCCTGTGTTAGTCAGATCGGTTGCGGGCAGAAGAAAGAAAAGCATTTGACGAAACCAGAAGTTGGTCATTTTAGATCTCAAGGAGTTCCAATGAAGAGGAAATTGAGAGAGTTTCCTGTGACAGAAGATGCGCTCATACCTGTTGGTACGTCAATTGGTGTTCGCCATTTTGTCCCAGGACAGTATGTGGATATCCAAGGAATTACAATGGGCAAAGGATTTCAGGTTAGGCATTCAGCTCTCATTTTCATCTCTTTTGCTCAGATTTTCATTGATTTCTTGTTTCTTTATTAGGCCACCCAGGAAAACTTAGTCATTGGCTTGTAGCTTTTTTTTCTCCATAGAGTTTTGACAATTGGTTCATTTCCATTTACCAAATATGAACCATTGACGGATAACCTGAACTAGAACACATCTAGTTGTTTTTTGATAGCCCAATGATAATGAGCTTTTGATTTTACGTCACTGTCAAAGTTGGTTTAATGTTAAATTTTCTGTCCATAGCTGTCAAACCTCTTTATTTTTAGGTCGTAATGAGTTAGACTAAAATTGTAAAACGGGAGACGTGTATATTTAGATTGGCTGGGGTTCATATATGAATTCCAATATTTTAGTCATCTGTTGACATGTGATGAGGACTGTTGAAGTGGAGAATAGTTTTCTCCTTGTTGTGTTTTTTCCTCTGCTTGCCATATGTTAACAAAACTGTTTTGAAATTCTTGTGAGTTGCATACATGGGAATGAGATCCACCGTTAACATTTCTCGTATTATTGTTTCTAATGTTGTAAAACCAGGGTGGGATGAAAAGATGGGGATTTAAAGGGATGCCAGCTTCTCATGGTGCATCACTGTCACATCGAAGTATTGGATCTACCGGTCAGAGAGATGCTCCCGGGAAGGTATCTATAGCGGAATCTAAAGATTCTATTGTGTTTTTATGCTGGAAGCCTTGTTGCCATTCCTCTTTTACCGGAACGGTGCATTGTTCTGCCTAGCCAGTAACTGCATGCCCTATCTTTACGGCAGTGTTTGCTTGCTTATTGTTTGGCTATTGCATTAATTTCTAATGGGTTGTAAGATCCACTTATGGGCTATAAACCATCAATTGCAGAATTATAAGTTCCTTTAGGTGTCTATGGAGGTCCTGTTATAAGTTCCTTAAGGTGGCATGTAGAGAATAGATGCATGATCTGAAAGTAGTTGTACTGTGAATGGGAATGGGAAACTAGAAGTTGCATGTTAAGACACTTTAACTGTGAAGCTCAGTCTCCAGATCCAGAGATAGTCTTGCCTGGACCCGGGTCCATGGACCCAAAATGATTGCAGCCATTGATCATGTGGGGCTCACATGATCAACGGCCATGATGGTACTCGGTCCATGCCAATATTTGCCCCAAATCCGTCAGTCAATGAATGATTTGCCAACAAAGCTGAAAGTTTTGCAGATTTATGGTTTCTAAATCTATGAAATTCCAGTATGCCAACCTTTTCTGTGGGGATGAGAAACTTGAGACTTGAGAGGTGTATACTGTGTAGCCATAGCCTGTTTAAGAAGATTGTTTCTTTTTTTTTTTCCATCTTCCGATGGAGAGGTTAGAAATGAATAGCATGAAAGAATGTAGTTTTCATACTTTCAATGATAATGACTTGAACCAATCACAACACTTTCATCAAATTAGATTGCTGTAGTTGCTTTTCTAGTGCTTGTTGCCGGTTGAAACCGATAAAGACATGGATTTAATGAAAGGATGATGCAAAATTTTGGAATGCAGCAAGATGTGTGTCTTTACGGATATGAGGTCCTTACCAGTGGAATTGTCTCTACATCTTGACTTATTGCTACTTTAGTCCTTTGAAGAATTAAACCAACTAGATCGTTCGTCCCACTTGCCTGTGCGTAGTTTTTCAGGATTTTGTTGTTCTTTTTCACCGGTGGTTTGTTATATCAATCTCTTTATTTTAGGCATTTGCTGGTCATTTTTTGCTTGGTGTAAAGCTTGTGTGCTTCTTGAACAGGTTTTCAAAGGTAAGAAAATGCCTGGCCGAATGGGTGGAAAGCGACGAACCGTAAAAAACGTGTTTGTCTACAGAATAGATCCCACAAGGAACTTGATGTGGGTGAGAGGCCAAGTATGTTCCCTTTCATCTCTCTTTCTCAATGTTAGTTCGCCAAAATTATTGTATGGATTTTTCTTTGTAGGTTTGTGGTGAATTAGGTTGTCTTGCATTCCTTTAACAGGTCCCAGGTGCAGAGGGAAATTTTGTGTTTATAAAGGATGCTGTGTACAACAAACCAGACGTATCGACCCTTCCTTTCCCAACATATTTTGCTGCAGATGATGAAGACACAGCAAGCTTGGAACCTCTGATTGCCGATCTTGGAGAAGTCGATCCATTCATGGTGGCAGATTGATTCAATTGCGATTTTTATTTCCTCTAACGGATAGATCCGCATTTTTGTCAGGATAGACAACTCTTGTACCTGAGCTGGTTAGGTCAGTCATACCAGGCATCGTTTTTCTGGCCATAGAATCATTCTTGGAGTCGATTATATCTTGTTCATCCCTAGAAGGGCAGCTTCAGAGAATGTGAGGTTTTTCTTCTTTGTATTGCTGGGATTATTGTGTCTATATTTAGCACTTGTCTTCTCATTTGGAAATAAAGGAGTGATAAAATGAAGAATTATGGCTTTCGCCAGGTCATTTTCTGGGGCTGCTGACTTATTACGTGGATATTTAGATGGTGCAATTAACTTCTTATTTTTCGTTAGGAGAAAATGAAGGAATCGATTGTGTACTTGTAGACAGTCTGGCTGAAATAAATTCTTGTTGAATATGTAGCAAAGGAGTGCAATTCAGATTGTCAGCTACTTGTGTTTTGTTAGAGAAAGTCGATGTTTCTTCTGTACTGTTTTTGGGAAATATAAGTTCTGCTTTGTGAGTCTTATTAGTGATTGCTTCATTTTCTTACCCTGGGCTGATGGTACTCTAGTGTGGTTTCCAAATTCCATGCTGGGAGTTGATTCATCCACCTGGCTGGTTCAATCTCAATGTTTCATGTCAGATGAGGTTGCTTCATAGAACTTGATATCCTTCAAGCCGAATCGTTCAAGTTCAGAAATGCATTTTCATCTGCTCCAGGGAGTTGTTTCTACGACATGCATTTTGTATCTCTTTTGATGTGTGACCATCTGGTCTCGCACTTGGGTATGATGTCGCACTATCCGTCCGTAGGTATCCGTCGGCATCTTCTTTCCATTAGCATCGAATTGATGATATTTGATTAAGATAGAAACACCAGGTAGCTTAACTGAGGACGGAAGGGACAAAGGAATGTTTCATCTGTAACTATCATTAAGATCAAAATGAGAAGGACCACAGTAGAACTGTATTCAGCTTCCTCAGTTTGATTTAGCTTTCATAGGAAAAGGGACACAAAACAGAGTGGAACTAGGATTATAACTTAAGAGCTGTACAAAATCTGGGCTACTGTGGGGTGGCAATCGAAACCAGCCTCTCGTCCCGATGGTTTTGTATAGAATCGAGTCTATCCCAATTACTAAATCTATCTCTTGTGCAATTGCCTCTGCTGCATCGCTTGCCTTAACAAATAGCCTTCAGTTTCCTTTGAATCCAAGCAGATAAGGCATGCCGGTGGGCTTGAGCCACTGGCTCCCTTGTATGAATGGTCCGGCCGTGAACTGCAAAGCCTCGTTCCGGTTCGTTATCACGCGGAAGCCCTTCCATTTCACTCTCTTGTTGGTCGCTGCGCCAGGGCCCCGGTTTGCGTACTCGGCATAGTACAGGGTGTCGAGTGCAAAGTTCCCGCTCCAGGGCATGTACCCTGCCGGTTGGATCAGGTCCCCTATGGTCGACTCCATGATGACTGTCCGCGAGTACTGCTTCCAGGGCCTTCCCAAGTAAGACCGAATCTGTAACCTCGCAGGGTAGAGCTTCTGTTCGGGCACGATGCGGCAGTTCTGGATCACGAGGCCGGTGGTCTCGTGCTTGTCTGTCCTTCCCTGGGCCGTCACTGTGTTCTGTTGGTTGTCCATGGGCTTCCTCACGACGATCAGGCTGTTTTGGATCAGTGCTGCTGCGTCTCCAAATATGAAGTCCACGGTGCCGGATATGACGCAATTCCGGTAGAACTGGCGGTGCGCTTGCACATATAAGGTATCTTGGTACCCGTCCATTCTGCAGTTGAAGAACGCAGCCATGTCGGATTGGACTCGGAGCGCCACGGCCTGGTGGCCCTCAGGGCCAGCCGTGTTCTGGAACCCCATCGACTTACCTATGAACCCGTTTCCAATTACCGCTGCAAGATGGAAGTCCTCGTCAATACACACCATCGCAATTGTTTCTAACAAGTACGTTCGATATCGGGGACGTGAACTTACAGAAAGAAGCAGTTCTGAAGGTGGATACACCATCGCGATTGCATTTCTTTCCGGTGATCATCGTCTTCCTCGGCCCGTCTCCATACATGAAAATATTGACCTGATCCTTAGTAACCGTGAGATACTCGTTGTATATCCCGGCCTTCACATATATGACATATCTGCCTTTGTTGTTCTTTGGACATGCAGCGAGTGCAGCAGCGATAGTACTATATTGTCCGCTTCCGTCCTTTGCCACTACCGCATTGGGTTTCACTTGGCCCTTTGCTTGGCTCGCCATTAGCTTCCGATCTTCACGAGACCACCAGGATGGGTGCCCGTTGGCGTCCTCGGCATCGGGCTCCTCGAGAAGTCGGCGTGAGCTTGCACTGTTATTTAAAGGAATGTTGAAGGTGGTCAAGATCCCGGAAATCGCCGAAACAATTGCCAAGGCATTGCTTGTTAGCTGTGTGGCATTTAGCATTCCATTGGACATCTGCTTCTGCAAGTCCGGTTGCGTGACGCCATCCAAACACGTCTGCTGATACGAAATCACGGCGCTCAACCAGTTCTGAAGCTCCGAGACCCTATCATTCACGGTGTGCAAGTCACCGTCTCCCACCATGGAGAACGAGGATTGGAGCTCATCGACAGCGAATTGCAGCAAGTCCTGGCAATCCTCGAAAGCCATCTTCTGGGAGGAGCCCGTGGCTGAGCTCCCGATCGATCCTGACTTATTAAGTGCTGCCTTAACCTCCTCGAGAGTGGATTGGATGGCGGCCTGAATCAGCTCCTTCGGCGAGGCACTTTCGTTCTTCGCCACCGCACTGAGGCTATCGACGCAGGCTTGCTTATAATCCGTCGGCGCGCAAATGGCGGCCACGGACTTGGAACTCGACGAAATCTGGTCCCCATTTTCCGACCCGCCTTTACCTTTCATGCTGACTATCACGCCGATGCATACGCCCACGACGAGCAGGACGGAGACTGTTGCCGCAACTACCTTGGTTGCTTTCATTTTGCCTTTCCTTTATCTGTTTTTTTTTTGGTTCTTTTGTATTAGGGAAGTTGCATGTGAAGATTTTTGTTGTCCTCTTGGTTTTTTTTCCTTGTTTTCTCAAGATAGAGAATAGAAGGAGAAAGATTAAGAGGTGAAGAGATTGTTTATGATGTCTTATAGACGGTGTCATCTCAAAAATTAGAGGTTTGAGTGGCTTTTGGTTTCAATGGATGACATTGGAAATGTTTAAGTTTAGATAGTCTTTCTTGTGGTATGTGAAAAGATGTCCAAACTGAGGCAAGCTGCAATGGGAGGAGGAGGGAGTTCTTGTCATATTCTCCCTCTTTCCAACATCTTCAAGCACATTTTTGCCTTGGCTATTTATAGAACTCAGAGAGAAATTGACATCTGTGAGTCGAGATTCACCATTGCTCTGTGGAGGGCTTTTTCAAGAAACGTGAAGCTTCTTACAAAGTCCTTTGAACGTGCTTCCAAGGTTTTGCGTGTGAAATCCATGCACTCCCATCATCTAGTCAATCTGCAAAATTATGGGCATTTGCAAGTCTTGAGGATGAGATGGCATCGTGTAAACTCTCACTCTGATCTTCAATCAAAAGAAAAAGCAGTCGGGATAGTTATTACCTACGTTATGTGTTATCGACATGGTAGATTAAGTCGGTCACAATGATTATAAATAATGAATATTGAATATGTTTGTATCGAAATACGTGATTTGGAAAATACGATTTATAAACTTAAGCCAGTATTTTCCAGAAAAATGAGACTCGTAGTCAGAACTAAGCAAGTCCTTAAATGCCCTATCTCGATCCTCATCCGGACCTTGGGATCACTGAGATGTAAATCTCCTAAAGGCTATTCCATCTCCCTAGAAAAGATAGATGTACGGGGAGAATTAGAGGCGCAGAGCATGAGGGCACCCTCACATTAAAATAAGATCACATCCGTGAAATTCACTATCTCTGTACATCAAACGGACAGGCACGAAGGCCACTACAAGAGATTTGGCTCCTCTTCTCTAGTGAGGTTAAACTCTTAACTGAATACCCAGGATCCATCTTATCGTTAAAAGAAAAGGCGAAAACCTATGTTCCCAATTATCCTGTGTTAATGACTATACGAACAAGGTATTTATGAAACCGATAAGCCACCATGTTAAGTACGACATTCAGTAGGTACGTGTATGTTTTTGTCTTTCGAAGATGATCTTGATTCACACCTTGAAAATACGAGATCAACTTGTGAAGATTGTTCGGCTTATGGCGCCAACAAAACAACAAAAGCCAAACATCAAAGTCTTAACATTTCTCATGGAGTGTGTACTTGCACAATGGACGTAAGACATTCAGCCACTGATCGACAATTCGTGTGAACACGGCCGATCTGCTTGCACGCGAGATAAAAGCCTGGAAGTAAGCATGGAAGATGCAGATGGGATGCTAGTCCAGATGTTAATGTGCCTGGTGCGTTTGTTGGGGCTTGCAGAATCCACAAGAACATCTCACCAGGTCAAGACCAAACTGGGATTGACCCTTCGCATCTCCGAGAATTCCTGAATATGCAGAAGACTGTTCAATGTGCAACTAAGCTCGACTCTAAGGCTTTCAACCGTGTAATCATCGCGAGAAACAGAAACCCAAATCCAACATCTTTTTGCTCCAGCAAGTGCCCTTGTGAAGATTGCACATAGTCATGGATGAGAAAAGAAACAGAGGCACGGTTCATGTGTGCAAAAGTTTGACATGGTCGGTCAACTTTCGTGACAGATACAAGGGACTGAATGTATGTATACATTAGCCAATATAAATGAATTCGACGAATAAAGATATGGTTTCGTCGATTTGAAGATATAGAGCAAAAAGCCCTCCTCCTCCCAAATTCTCTTAACCCTGAAATCCCTCCAAACTGAGTGATTTTTCAGTCCTTACTCAAGACACAGTGCAACACAATCGATTTCTCTTGAAAAATTCCAGTCAACACCATGAGTGAGACGCCTTTAATAATGGAACGTGCAGGTTAGAGCTACAACATTAACAACTAATAGAAATTTCCACTTTTTCCCACTTGTGGTGCACGTTAATGTTAATGCTCAACATTCGAAGAGTAATATCAGAATGGCCTACAACAGCGAAAAATGGAATCGAGGCTAATGCCAGCATTGACATGTCAAAAAGCGTAAGAATATACAGGAAAGCTACCCGTTATTTGTAAACGGAAAATTGCAGCTACTTCTTGCTTTTGAAGACGAATCCCTGTGGACATTTCCCAGAAGTCTGTCCTCATGAACCAGGAGTTCATGCTTTAGTTTTTCTCACGGGAGCGGTTCTTGAGAATCTCCAAGGCGAGATAAATGGAGGTACGCATCAGTCCCTGCAGAAACAAATTTACAGAGATGAGTGGAAAACTCTCGGAAAAACTCAGTCGGTTGTGACAGAATGTCAGCAAATCAGCCAATTTGGAGAAGCACAAACCACGGCTGGAATCTTATCTGTGTAAAAGCAGCCATATAACATTCAAATTCAATCATGTTATGAAGAGTATACTGTTTCATATGATGTGAAATCAATATTTTGAGCAGTTCACAGTTCCCATAAAGCCAGTTAGTTTACAAGAACATCCGACCCAAGGTCCCCGGGGCTCATCAGTGGTAATTCCCCCGACTTTGCAATTGCTTCAACCAAGTAATGCGTGTCTATGCTTACAAATTTGGAGAAACTTCTTATAAAATTTACTTTACAGCTACAAGCCTAGAGAGCTGATCTCGACCAGCTTAATCTGGAACATGCATTCTCATTAGCAAATTCTGCTGCAAAATCTGAAGTAAAGTGAATGTAAATAGACTTCATCTCTACAGAGCTGCAATGTGCACCCATACTCTTTTTGCCCCCTCTCAAATGAAAACGTTGAGAACTTGACACGTTTATGTGCCAACAAATGTAAAAATACACTCAAAGAATGTAACCAATTATGGCAAAAACTTGACCAATGCAAGTACCATGAATGGAATGTAAGGACAAAAAGGCACATATCATCTCTTTTAGACCTGAAGGTCTCGTGTTTCTAAATGACTTGAGGAAACATTGATGTAAAGATAGAAATGACAGAGGAGTTACACAATGGAGAATCAAAAAAAGATAATCTCACCGTATCCTTCCATAGAAATAATTTGCAGGTCACCACCGAAGTACCGAGCATACAAACGGCTGATTGGAAGCCCATAGCCATAACCGGCCATAGTCACATTATCAGCTGTTCCAAGATCTGAGTTCTCATCCAAGGGGTTTTTCGCGGTACTATACAGATACGTGAAGATTTTGGGAAGACCACTTCTTGGGATGCCACCCCCCTCATCTGACACCTATAATCATGTAAAAAAAGAAGTCAATGGCCTCTCAATATCAAGTGCTTGTCTGCAGAAAAGGCTTTTGTCATGCTTCTACATTTTCCCACAACATGAATGTCGAGGAGCACACTTTCACTCATAAAGTGAAATTTTCGCAAACTCGAGAAACTTATATGAATCAAATTCAAGCAAGAGGACTGCACCTTGATTGTAACATCTTCAATTCCATCAGCAACAATAATTCGAATAGAAGGTGAAACTTTATCTGAATCCATGAATCGTTCTTGGACAGCACGCAAAGAGTTCTTAACCAACTCAAATACCATTAGATGCAAGTGTGTCGGAACATACCTGCAAAAAAGCAACAAGAATAGCAGTAGATTAGCAGATGGAAGCAAGATTTGTTGATGCATCCACTCCAATGCCTTGAATCAATGGTGAGACTATATCGACCAAAAAAAAAGAAAAATGTACTGGGTTCTCAGCACGCACAAGCACCTGCACTTAAACATACATGGGGAAAGAAAGATTTTGGGTGGGAGGGGGGAGGCACATGCGTTAGTGCGCGTGCGCGCGAGAGAGAGAGAGAGAGAGAAGAAATAAATGTCGTTAGCTAGTGACTTACGGGAATGTAAAGCTGGGATCCCCATAAATATTAATATCCGGAGCACTGCCATACTCACGCAAACAAATAGAACGAGCATCCTCACTAGCATTACGTGCAACCTCGACTGGGGACATTCTTGTGTGGATATATCCCACACAATGAGGAGGAGGATTGGGATTATGCAACTCCACATGCTGACCTGAATTTCATCCAGAATTTAAGCACGTAAGAGCATCATCATTCCTTTTATTTTATGTTTTTTGGCCAGCACATAAGAGCATCATCATTCAATATCAATTTTAAAAAAAAATAAGACGACCGCCAAAAAGAAGAACTACAAAGTAACCAATCACATTAGGCGATGAAGCGCAAAATCGAAGAAACGCAGTCTCACCAATAAGCATTCGAATGCCAATTCTTGACATGTAAAAACGGTCGAGAAATTGATGAATCTCATCAAGATCCTCATAAACAATCTTCTGTTTCATGCCTTTCTTCAACTGTTGAACTCCTAATGCCATCATTGGGACGACGTTATTATGTCTAACCTTTATTGCCTTTATCATTTCCGTGAAATCCTTCTCGTCAGTCGAATACTTGATATCAGGGAAGGCCCTGAGGTCACGGTAAGAATCAAAGTACCAATCCCGAACCTGAACAGTGAAATAGAAACGTGAATAGATGATATACCACTCCAGATCGCTTTCATAGGCCTAGTTGATTAGACTACCAAATCAGCATACCTGTTGAAAAGTCTAGCTTAGACATAGAATGACAATTGCACAAAAAGAATAAAAGAATAAAAGAAAGGGAAAGTCGTCCTACAAAACCAAGCAGTCCCTGTGATATCTAAAGGAGCAAGATTCACCCTCAGAAGTAAATACAGCATCCGGTATGAACATATTCTATGCTGCAATTTACCAATTCCGTTGCAACGCTAACCAAGTAAACCTCATAGGCCCACCATCTCAGCGAATAAGCACTCGATATTTTCAAGAAAATGCATGATCACTGGCAATAGGTGCATATTCAGATTTCAGTCAACTCTTTGTAAAATAATCACAAAAATGTAAAGTGCATACATAATGAGAACACCTTGAACCCTTTCTAACCAGGAGAACCAAATCCCATTTCTCCACGAAGAGATTTAAAAAAAAAAAAAAATCAGAAACGGTCAAACCACAAGGAATCCAGTCAAGAACTCTCTGACCCATCACCACTAAACAACCATTAAACACAATCACAACCCCGTTTCCCCCAAAAAAAAGAAAGCCCTTCAGTTCTTTCCTTACCTTCAAGACGGCAGGCTTCTCAGACAACCCATAAGGCAAGTTCTCGAGCTCCATAGCCCTCCTGGCGATCCTGATGGGGAGCTCCTTGTGGAGAAACTGGGCGGAGATCAGCAAGTTGCGCTCGCTGGGCCGGGACCCGAACTCCATCATGTACTTCAGGCTGACCCCGGTCTGCTTCAGGCAGCCCCATCGGTGCACCTCGTCGATGAGGCTCTTGGAGTAGCACTCGCGGAGCTTCTTAGCCGCCATGGCCCGACGAGCGAGCCCAGAAGCGAGTACGGCGAAACGGGGGGAGGAAGCAACGCGAAGAGGGGCGAAACTGACATAGAAAATCAAGAACCGCAACGCCCCCACGCAAGAAAGCCAAGTCCCTTCAAAGTATAAACAGAAAGAAAGAAAAGGGTACAAGCCAACCCGGAAGAAGGATGGAAATGGAGCAAAAAGGCAGGAGCTTTTCGCCTACAAGAAAGCTAGGGCTGGGATTTTCTAACCAGAGGTGGGCAGCGAAGATGGCAACTTCTTGGGTCTAAAGGTTGTGGTTTTCTCTTCCTCTTCTTCTTCCTTTTTGAGTTCCTCTTGAGGGGAAAGGGTGGCTGCTGTGGCTTGGGGGGGGGGTGCGAGCCAGCGGCAGGAGCGACGAGGTGACGACACGTGGAATTTTGACGGGGGCGAGATGATGGTCGCACGTGCGGGGCGCCTTCGATGTTTTTTGCACTTCTCCCTTCCGCCGCAACAAAATTATATTTCGTGTCGCTTGGGTTTGTCCGTCGATGCAACGAAACAATTGATCGGGTCGATCTTAACGAGCCGGGTTTTTGCCGATGCGTCGGTGTTGTGACGATTAGCAATGGAAAAATGATATGGATGGTTCCTAATATTTGGCTTAATGCATAATAAGATTACTGAATTTTTAATTTACTTAATACGTAATGCGATCCCTGAATTTTCAGTTTGTTCAATATGATCCTTAGATTTTTAATATATATTCAATTTAGTTTCTGAACTATATGAAAATATTCAAGAGTTCAAGAATTATATTGAATAATTTAAAAATTCAGGGACTACGATGTAAAAGGGATCAAAATTTAAAAATTATTTATGTAATTATCTTATTATCAAATTATATTAATTTGTCGTCATAGTACCGAAATAAAAATTGATAAATGAAACTATTCGAGCTCAAGAAAACCAAGTTGCTTTTGTGCTGCCTGCCGCCCACAGCTTGGCTTGGGCTGTGGGGAGAGAGAGAGAAGAGACCCCACACAATTGAAAACAAAGGACAAAACGTATGAAAAGATCCAAAATCCAAACCCCCTTTTTATTCAAGGTTGTTTCGCTCGAAAAGATCGAGTGGGTATCTTTTATCAGACAATGCCATCTCGGTCTTTAGTGCCATGGAAAAAGAGTAACTTATTTAAATTGAGATGTCGAATCAATCACTATTTGCAATAGTAAGTTTTGTCTATAGTATGATCTCCATACCCTCCCCTCCTTTAGAGCAAAACTTCTAATCTTGTGTAGAGTTACTATTTTTTTACCCTACCATCTTTAAGCTCGGTTGCTATAACATCGTGTTAACTCGTCAATAATAAGTCTTCACATCCTTTTTTCACGTTTCTCTAGAGGGCTATTCTCGACACTTCACTGCAGGTCTCGAGTCTATTCTCAATCCCTTACACCAATAAATAAAAGATATTTTAAATGATGGTTACATATACAAAACTAATCGTCACGACCCCGTGTTACGAATTTTACCCCACTTTTCTTTTGCCAGAAAAAGAAAAGGTGCATCACGCATCTCGTAGTTGATTGGCTTGTTATACCACGTGTAACCATCACATTGCGTAACCGACCCATAAAACAACCCTTTCGTGCCATTAGACATTATTACCTATTGCTTCATATCTTCTTTATCTTCTAGGTTCAAAGTTACCATCAATATGTAGTCGCGAAATCAACCAGGGGTACGAAGTCTAGCTTGCGAGTTGATTTCGTGTTAGCGTAGGATCCGCAGGTGCCGTAGGCACCCCTTATCACCCCAGACGCGGGAGGCTACTATACCTGCCTACTCGGAGGTAGCCAACTGAAGTTGAAGTGGTATTTACCTTCACCTAGACAAGACCGCGGTTCGGAACCGGTGGTTCCGATTTGTGGCCATGTATGAACCGAAACCGGAACCGCCCCTGGCGGTTCTGGTTCCGGGCCGGTTTCGATTCCGGCCCAGTTCGGAACCAGCCGGTAAAAATTAAAAAAATAAATTATGAAATAAAAAAAATAATGAATTATCAAATTATGAAATAATGAATTATTCAATATAAAATGTAATCAAAATGTACATTGTAATCAAATTTGGGGAAAAAAAGAGAGAAAGAATGAATTTTTTTTTTTGGAACCGGGCCCGGAATCGGCGATTCCGGGCCGGTTCCAAAATTGTTGGAACCAGAACCGGGCCCGTAGGCCACGGGCCAGTTCCGATTCCGAACCGTGGGCTCGGTCAACGGGCCGAAATCGGCGCGTGGCCATGTCTACCTTCACCATCCAAGATCTTCCTAAGTTCCCTCGGAATCTTTTTCTTCCTTGAAGAGAGGGAATACGGAGGAGTTTAAGAAAGATCACTTCTGTAGAAGTGAGAAATCACAAACTTTCCACCTCCACTGAGGTTTTCCCTCCCCTTATCCTCCTTAAGCCTTTTAAGGTCTTACCCAAGACCAAAAGGACAAAACAAATGGAAAGATCCAAAATCCAAACCCCCATTTTATTCAAGATTGTTTTGCTCAAAAAGATCGATTGGATATCTTTTATCAAACAATGCCATCTCATTCTTTAGTGCCTACGTAAAGAGTAACTTGTTCGAATTGGGATGTCGAATCAATCGCTATTTGCAATAGTAAGTTTTGTGTATAGTATGATCTCAATATCCTTCCTCCTTTAGAGCAAAACTTCTAATCTTGCGTGGAGTTACTATTTTTTTACCCTCCATCTTTAAGCTCGGTTGCTATAACATCATGTTAGCTCGTCAAAAATTAGTCTTCACATCCTTTTTTCACCTTTCTTTGGGGGGCTATTCTCGACACTTCACTGCAGGTCTCGAGTCTATTCTCAATTCCTTATACCACTAAATAAAATATATTTTACATGATGGTTACATATACCAAATTAATCGTCATGCCCCTGTGTTACGAATCTTACCCCACTTTTCTTTTTGCCAGAAAAAGAAAAGGTGCATCACGCATCTCGTAGTTGATTGGCTTGTTATACCACGTGTAACCATCACATTGCGTAACCGACCGATAAAACAACCCTCTCGTGCCATTAGACATTATTACTTGTTGCTTTGTATCTTCTTTATCTTCTAGGTTCAAAGTTACCAACAATATGTAGTCGCGAAATCAACCAAGGGTACAGAGTCTAGCTTGCGAGTTGATTTTGCGTTAGCGCAGGATTCACAGGTGCCGTAGGCACCCCCTTATCACCCCAAGTGCGAGAGGCTATTATACTTGCCTACTTGGACGTAGCTAGCCGAAGCTAAAGTGGTATTTACCTTCACCACCCAAGATCCTTCTAAGTTCCCTCCGAATCTTTTTCTTCCCTGTAGGGAGGGAATACGAAGAAGTTTGAGAAAAATCACTTTTGTAAAAGTGAGAAGTCACAAACTTCCCACCTCCACTGAGGTTTTCCCTCCCCTTATCCTCCTTAAGCCTTTTACGGTCTTGCCCAAGACCAGAAGGACAAAACAAATGGAAAGATCCAAAATCCAAACCCCCATTTTATTCAAGGTTGTTTTGCATGAAAAGATCAATTGGATATCTTTTATCAGACAATGCCATCTCGTTCTTTAGTGCCTAGGTAAAGAGTAACTTGTTCGAATTGGGCTGTGGAATCTATCACTATTCGCAATAGTAAGTTTTGTCTATAGTGTGATCTCAATACCCTTCCTCCTATAGAGCAAAACTTCTAATCTTGCCTAGAGTTACTATTTTTTTACCCTCCATCTTTAAGCTCGGTTGCTATAACATCGTGTTAGCTCGTCAAAAATTAGTCTTCACATCCTTTTTTCAACTTTCTTTGGGGGGCTATTCTCGACACTTCACTGCAGGTCTCAAGTCTATTCTCAATCCCTTATACCACTAAATAAAAGATATTTTACATGATGGTTACATATACCGAATTAATCGTCATGCCCCCGTGTTATGAATCTTACCCTACTTTTCTTTTTGCCAGAAAAAGAAAAGGTGCATCATGCATCTCGTAGTTGATTGGCTTGTTATACCACGTGTAACCATCACATTGCGTAACTGACTCATAAAACAACGCTCTCATGCCACTAGACATTACTACCGGTTGCTTCGTATCTTCTTTATCTTCTAAGTTCAAAGTTACCATCAATATGCAGTATATTCATTCATGAAATAACCCATGTGCAAGGTAGAATATGTCCCTACTGTCGCAACCTACCAGTCCCGATCGGTTAGGTCAAGAGGTATTTGTCGAAAGATGTGAACGACGATTGGTTCGTTTGAAAGGTGAACCAAATGGTTCATTAATCCAACGACTGAGACACTCTCAAGCCTCATATCTCGTGCGACAAGAATTGTCCAATTTATGCATTCGATTGGAGTCGCCACTAGCCATAATCGGGAGTCGGCTAGAAACCCAAATCAAGACGGGGGAGCGTCGTCTCGATATGCGCGAAAACTAGAGATTCTAAAGATCGAGGACTTGATTACACTAGTGATCTAACTAATGCAATTTCGGTACCTCAACTTGAACATTCGCAAACTAACGTACTAGGCAGCCTATCGAAAAAGTTAAGATTTCACCTAACCATGTTAAAAATAGAAAATAACAACCGATGTATTAAAGGCGCACGACCAAATAATCATAAAAAAAAATAAACAACCAACGACCTAGCATCGTCTCTAAAAAGAAAAAGCAGTCAAAAGCTCTAAACTAAAGCCCTAATAGCTTGTTCAAATTTTTGGGAATTTTTTTTAAAGGGTTTTCTCAATTTTTACGAGTTTTTAAACTAAATCTAGAATGAAATTAACACTAAATCTAGTGAAATTAAACAAAAAACTGATTTCTAAACAATTCCTAATTTTTTGGATTTTTTTTCAAAATTTTAAATTTTTTTATTTTTTTATTTTTAAAATTTTTTTCGATTTTTAAATTTTTTCGATTTTTTTGGATTTTTTAATATTTTTTTTTTATATATTTTAATATTTTATTAATAAAATCAAAATTCCGGACCGGATCCCCTGACCCGATCCGCCCGACTACCTGACCCGGTTCTCCGACCCGCCCGGGACCTCCTTTAAATATTTCTTTTCTGATTTTTTTTTTCTTTTTTTGATTTTCCCTCTTTTCTGTTTCTTTTCTCTTTATTTTTTATTTTTTTCTTTCCCCCCTTTGCGTGCCCTTCTGGACGTCTCTTCCCAGAACGCTTTCTTCTTCGCTTCTTCACCGAGAACGTCTTCATGCCGTCACTGGGATTACGCCGGGAACGCCCACCGCCGGCCGTCGGCTCGGGCGGCCAGCGTCGACGACGGACGCTGGCCTTAAGCCATCACCGCCGGCCAACTTTCCGGCGACCACACCAGCCCCTTAGAGAAACAGTCACAACTCCCCACCGGCGACAAACGCACTTTCCGACAATCCGACATTCGGCCCCAACAATAGACGCTAAGCCTGAACACACAAGCATACATACACAAAATAAGGCATAGAACACTGTCACGGTGGGACTTCGACCCAAGGCATCACCGGAAAACGAATGTTGACTCCGACTCGTATGCAAGTCCATGGCCGACATCGGGGAACAACAGAATATGCCATACAAACACATGAAAAAACAAGGAAAGCTTGGGGTCAGTAACTACACTAGAACCATTCAAGCATATAACAAAACTTTAGGGCATCGGTTTTGCAAAAACGGACTCGGAGTATCACTTGGACATTTTGTCAAACAGGTGGTGGGCGAGTTCGAGCAGGGGCTTCAGATTGAAATTTGGTGCGATTTTTGGCTTGAACATGGAGTATGAGGATCTAAGAAACCGTATCTCGTCAAAAATTCGTCTTGGCTCGCGATAGAACTCTAAAAAAAAAAACCACACGACCAGATCCAACGTTTAAAACTTAAATAGCTTCACTGAGACATTTCGTCGAACGGGTGGTAGGCGGCAAAAAAATGGATCCACAGATCCGTTTTTGACGAGGTTCACGGCTTGTTTTCAACATACAACCCTCAGAAAAGGTTCATGGAGTGTCGAACGAATGTTAGCCTCTGTCTACGGGGCCGGGCGATCATCGAACGGACTCGGTGTGCCCAGCACCCAAGAGGCAGGGGAGAGGAGAGGCCAAAACAGGGGATAGCAATGGAGACCCACCTGGTTCGTGACCGACCGGGACGAAGCGCGGCGACTGGAAGCTCGGCGGGACCGACGGCGACTCGGGCGGCCCTCCGGCGAGCGGGTGAGGTTCTCTCTTCCTTTCTCACCCTCAAGATCTCTCTTTTTCACCTCAATCTCCTCTCAAACTCTCTCGGTCTCTCCCTCTTTATCCCTGAAGAGTGCTTCTTTTCTTAGGGACCATCCTGCACCTCTGACATCTTCGGCGTCACGCGACGCCCTCCTGTTTCTGAGCCTTCTGCTCCTCCCGTCGTTATCCCCCGAAGTTCCTTTTTTCTCCTCTTCCCTTTGTCTTCTCTGTTTCGTACGAGCATGTGTGAGGGAGGGGGGAAGCTGAAGATTGAATGTGGGCCGTGCATAAAGAGAAAAGAAAGAAAGAAAGGGCCAGGAGTGAGGGACCAAGTGTTCATGGCACGAGCCCTTTTCCATTGCTAGGGTTATCAAAGGGCCTCAAAATCAGATTTCCTGAGAAGTGGGGCAGCCTTTTTCCATTGCTAACGGTTATCAAAGGGCCTCAGAATCAGATTTCCTGAGATGTGGGGCAGCTTTTTTCCACTTGACGTGGACATCGAACCCTATCGAGGAAGCGGTGCTAGGGACCCGTTGTTCTATCTGCTAGGCCCGATCACTCGAGCGAGAAGCGAAGGAATTCAAACAATTTGTCGCATCATGGTTCAAGATATTTGGAATGGAGACAATCTGGATTCGAAACTTGAAGATTCAAGAATCTCCTTGGCGCAACATGATTACTCTTGGTCAGTAATTAGAAGGAGCTTAGAATTGACGAACTCCGAATTGGTTCAAATTTGGATGGACGCTTGGAAACGGGCCGCTGATTAATACACACTACTTTAGTAGTGATTGATGACGTTTTTTAGCGATTTGGAGTCGTTTAGATGAACTTTTAGGCCTTTTTCCATTTTTGGATAAATTTTTAGTAATTAAGGTTATTTTTTTAATTTTAATCCTAGTAGGATTAGGATTAGGGTTATCACTCTATATAAGGTTGCTTATAGATTTCTAAGAGGAGGCAGAATTTTATATAGAGAAATTTTCTTTTTGAGTTCTCTTGAGGACTAGATCTTATCAAGGCTCCCTTGTGGCGATCGAATTCAACTTATCGAGCAAGATCGCGAATTCTCTTGTTCGTAGCGTTATAGCGTGGATTGGTTGACACAGGTTCGTCAACAGGTCGCGTTCATACCAAGATTACCAATCACAGGTTCGATTGAGGGTCGAGGTCAGCAATTCGTAACTCACAGATCTTCGTAGAACGATCATCTTCCGCACAGATTCATATCACCACTGCTAGGGTTAAGATCTGCAATGCGTTTTGGCCATGGAGGGAGGCACCAAGTGTTACAAGGCACGAGCGCTCCAAGCTTTTGTGGCTGAGAACTCTTTAGGATACCGATACTGTCACACCCCAAACTCAACAAGAATAAGGGCATGACACGGCCATCCTTTAACAAAAGGACGCAGCCTAAACATAACCAAAACTCACATGATATCAAAATATATGCAACCACATATATACATGATATAAAGTTTATTTGGTTACAATATCAGAGTTAACTACAATCCACCAAAAAGCTAAGTACAGTAAGCTCCACATCCATGTGTAACTCGTACCAAAAAGTCTCAACTATCAAAATGTTCTCCCCGACACCGGAACTCTCACGCCTACTAGCGTCTCGGTGAAGAACCTGAAAAACAAGTTAAATGAGAGGAATGAGCTACCACGGCTCAGTGAGTAATACATTCTTCTAAGTAGATCGAGCACCTACTATGCACACAGTTGTAAGACTAAACGAAAACTCAAATAACACAACATATAACCAACTCCAGGTTTAAAATACGTTGTATACTACTTTAAACATCACATTTTCACAATAGGAAAGCTCATTCCAATTAATAATATCAAAGAAGAAACCAATGGTCAAATCCATTGGCCAATCTCGTCGAAAAGCACACACCAATGGTCCATTCCGTTGACCAATCTCATGCTCAGAAATCTAAGTATGATCACGGATAACGCCCCGTGAAAGGCGACCAAGATTCCCCCCTTGGCAAGGTCTCCACCTACTATAAGCCGGTGGCTCGGCCCACAAGGATATCCTAGTCTAGTATGCGCATACCCACAAACCCTCATTTGGGTTCACAGAGACACTGAGCATCAAAATCCACAACAATATCATCCACCAATCTACAAAACCCATTCCAGAAATCATTTCATAAACCATTTCATAAACCAAAATAAAACCCTTCATAAGCCACATTCAAATGCAAGAACTCCTCATGAGTCTTTCTCAAAAGGTTTCGCAAACCTATTTGCATTCAGTAAATTCAAACCGAAATCAAAAGATAATCTTTCATTTTAAATGCACAAGATGGCAGCAAATGCTCGATCCAATTTTATGTAATCAAAATGCCATTTCTTATATGATAACATATCTAATACATATCATTTTCTAAACATGAGTTTACAAATTCAAAGAAGAAATAGTACCACTCACCTTGAAAAGCTGAAAAACTAACCTACAGCGATTTCTCGAGCCGACACACTTGAATACCTAACAATAAGTCGAAAAACGGTATCAAAACCGAGTAAAATGTTACTTCAACTACGACTCGGCTCAACTAGGCTTAGATGCTAATATAACGACTAAAAGACGCCCTCAAAACGCTCGTCTAACGCGATTATCCAAAATCGCCCACAATACAACGCCTAAGCGCAAAACTTGATTGCGCCATAACTTTCTCCAGTAAACTCCAATCCAAGCAAGTTTATAGTCAAAAGAAAGCTTGTTCGGAGCACTACAGGAACCCCAACTTGGCAGCCCCAAAATCGAGCCGAAAACCGACGAAAATCGGCCTAAAAACCATTGTTCGCGTACTGTTCACTGCACGCACTCAACTTCAAAAATTCATATCCAGCAAATCGTAAGTCCAAATCAGGCTCCGTAAAATCCCACAGCTCCGCAACACTGTAAACTACCAATTCTATAAAAATACGCAGCTGAACGACTCAAAAATCAGACTTCGCCGCTCGAATTTCCCAAAATTCCGAATTTAAACCCTAAATTGAAAAACTTCTCCGATCAAACGAACGAGGGGCGCGAGTACTTACCGAGCGTTGCGATTCGAAGTCGAATCGGCTAGGCGAGGTCCGCGCGGCGCAAAACCCTCTCCTCTCCTCTTTTTCTTCTTCTTCTTCCCTTTCCTCTCCTTTCTCTTCTTTTCCGTTTCTGTTTTTCTCAGCCAAGGAGCTCTCGGCCTCCTTTTTAATTTGGTCGAGAGTCCACTGTAGCTTCTGTTGACTTGTTGACTTGTTGACCTTTTTTTTTTTTTTTTTTTTTTTTTTTTTTTCAGAACCCATATTTTGCAGATACAGAATCCGATAAAGCTCCACCTAACATTCCTCCCCCAGGGCTCTGCGTGGCCACTGGTTCCTCCTGGCACAGCAAGCAACCTTCTCTCTCATTCTTCCACATGAAGCACGAGACACTTGGGCCAATTTGCAGGTGCCGGAGTGCTCACTGTTGGCGACAGGTTTGGGGGCGTTCCATGAGGGACCTTTGCATTCGAATTTTGGACCTACAGCCTCACCACCCGTAGCTATAAGTCTGAGATCCCCATCGTTTCCTTTCCTTTTCTTGGTCAGATAATCCCTCTTTTTCCTGAAGTTCCTCCACGAAGAGCTTGGCTGGCCCCTAGTGGACCTACCTGGGGAAACCTCATAAGAAAGATTGCATTATTTAATGAAGAATAAGCTATGTGCGGTTGAGAAAAGAGATCGCTCGCCTCAAAAGAATAAGGTGGGCATGACAATTTGTGTTTGCAGTGACTCCATGCGTGAAGCAATATTCTTGAGTAACTCGAGTGTGCAGGTACGTTTAAATTGTAGAGAGATAAAGGGTTGAAAGGGGTGAAAAAAATATATTGAGGAGATGTGAATTGAAACTTTCAAAAGAATGACCCATCTTGTTCTTCTTTCGGCCAGAAAATCCCGTTTTCTTAAACAAGAGCAACAGATCACAACAACGGTCTTAAGGGCCATGATCTTTGAGGAAATGTAATGGGCATAAGAATGAGTCAGGCATGATAAGTTTGTTGGGAAAATTATCAAAAAAGTCATAAATCTACTGCATTTGGGTCAGTTCAGTCTTAAATCTTTTAATTACGCCAATTTAAGTTAAAACATTTTCACATTTTGCCAATTAATTTCATCCGATCAATTTTGGCTAAAAAGCACAGATGTGGATGCTGGCCGTTTAACGTCGCACGATGTGGACAATTTTTTCTATATTTTAATATTTTCCCAAAATTTTTTTAATTTTTCTTTTTCCTTTTTTTTTCTCTTTTCCTTCTTTTTTTTTTTCCACTATGGTTGGCAAGGGTCGCCGGAGATGGTTAGCCACTGGGCAAGGGCCATGAAGCCCTCACCGACTGGCAATGAGGGTCACGGCCCTCGCCCACAGCACGCCTCGCGATGGTTTGGGCGAGGCACATGCGGCACCGAGTGAAGCCAGCCTCACTAAGGCCTCGCCGGTTGCAGGTGAGGCGGCCTTTATTCATAGCCTGCGAGGATGGCCTTGCCCAGCAACCGGGATTGCCTCACCCAATAGCCGACGACCCTTGCTTGCAATAGTGGAAAAAGAATAAGGAAAAGAGAAGAGAAGAAAAAAAGAAAAGAAAGAATTAATAAAAATTCATAAAAATATTTTAAAATTGTCCTCGTCAGCACTAGCCATGCCACATAGGACGTCTGGCGTCCATATTGGCGATTTTCAATAAAATTGATCGGACGGACTCAATTGGCCAAACGTGATAAGGTTCATGACTAAATTGGCAAAATGTGAAAATGTTTAGAATTGAATCGGCACAAGTGCAATAGACCTAGGACTTTTATGGTAATCATCCCTAAATTTGTTTGAAGCGGTTCGAATGCGCGAAGCACACATATTCGCATGCGGATGCTACTTTCTTTTATAGGCACACATTGATTAAGAAGGGTAACAAAATACGAACGAGATGCGAATCGACAATTTGAAAAGTACGACATCGAATGTTTAGACAGACTACGAGGAGCAAATTGATTCAAAAGGATAGAATATCGGTACAAAATGTGTCTCCGGCGTTGATCACGTGTGTTCTAGAGAGGAATCGGTAGCTTTGGCGATGCCGCCATGAAATGAAAACTCATCGCCGATGAACGGAGCGGTGAATATCCTCCTCATTCTCTTAAGAACAGTTAGTAGCAATTTCGAAAGAGCGGTGGAAATAGCACGTTTTATATCCTATTCTCATGCATGTAACATCTTTCATCATCTTCCACTCGTCCAAGATTAAAAAGCATATGCTTTCCCTACTTTCTTATTATTTCGCGCTAAAAATTTGAAAATGAGAAGAAAAAGTACATTCAATTTGGGAAAAACGACACAAATTGTCTATGAACTTTAGCCCAATGTGCAATGTAATCCTCAAACTTTCATCATCTTCCACTCGTCCAAGATTAAAAAGCATATGCTTTCCCTACTTTCTTATTATTTCGCGCTAAAAGTTTGAAAATGAGAAGAAAAGGTACATTCAATTTGGGAAAAACGACACAAATGGTCTATGAACTTTGGCCCAATGTGCAATGTGATCCTCGAACTTTTATTTTGTTCAATATGATCCTTGAACTTTAGCTTGACATACAATGTGGTCTCTGAACTTTTGATTTATTTAATAGGGTCCCTGAAATTTTGGTACATGTTCAAACTTGTCATTGGACAATATGAAGACGTTCAATGTGGTCCTTCAATTAATTTAAGTTCAGGGTCGATATTGAATATTTTCATATAGTCCAGGGACAAGTTTGAACATGTACCAAAAGTTCAGGGGCCACATTGCACATTGGGTCAAAGCTCATGGACCATTCGCGTCGTTACTCCTTTAGATTTCAAAAGATGGATGTGGAAAAATTATATAGAATTCTACGTATAAATATCTATATATATTTTAAAATATTTCAGGTGCTTGGCGTTAAACAAAAAACTACAGGAGCCTTAATATTTTTTTATAAAAAAAAAATAGGAAGTTAAAATTAGTTATTCCTAAGTGAAAGTTTGACTTTTGAAATTTCTATCGTTTCGAAGGTCACATTCTCAGTTGGCACCAATAGAATATGGAGGCCACTAATATGGTTTGGGCAATTCCTTCTTCACCCAAGCAATTGCGGCAAAATTAGATGCTAAAAATTTGCAATGGAGAGCAGGAACAGGACAAGCGGCTCGCGATTGCGTCGACAAAGCCAAGACGAAGGTGAATATCATGACCAGGACGTCTCGCCCGAGTGCGCTCGTACGCTACGCGTGTCCATGATGCTTTTATGAAGAAAGGGGTCGAAAGAGGCTTCACTCCGTTTGCCGCTAGGAGCATCGTGGGGCGGAGAGACGGTGAACGAGGCATCCGTGGTTCGAGGAAATGGTCGACGAGGCCGAGGACTGTCCGCTGCCCGAAATGGGCGAAGCCGGGTTCCTCGTGACTCGTCCCTCCGATCACGGACTCCCGGCCCGACGGGCTTGTCAAGCAACTTGTGCTCGGTCTTGCTTTCATATATATGGGTACACATTAGACCTGTCAAATGGTCCAAAACCCATTTATGAACCCACGTTTGTTCAAATGGGTCGCTAATGGGTCATTCTTTTTTTTCCAAATCGGTCTTAATGGGTTTCAAACAAAAGAAGGCCAAAATATATGGGTCTTAAATGGGTATATTCTGAACCCATTTACGACTCATTTAATAACCCATTATGAAAAGCCCGGCTCATGATCAACCTCTCACTTCACGATCTTCTCTCCGTCTTCTTCGCTTATCGCTTCCACGAAGTCACCTCTGCTGCTATCGCCGACTTCGCGCCGCCCATCTCCGGTGCGCTGCCGCCCATCACCAGTGCGCCGCCCATCTCCGTCGTAGCCAAGGTTCTCCGACGATTCAATATCGCCTGTCCTGCAATCCTCGCAAACCCTAAACTCCGTTTCTTGCGGCTAAATCTCTCCAATCGCCACTAAATTCCTGAGGACTATCTGAGCCTACGACTTCGCCACCACCGCCTCGATGCCCGCCGTCCCGAGCGCCTCCGGCACGTGCTCACGAAGTTCGCTCCCCCGATGACGATCGAGTACTTGGTCTTCGTCTCGTTTGCCTCGACGAATCGAGTCTCATAGCTCGAAGGGAGGCCGATCAGCGCATACGAGCCGAGCTTCTTGTACTCGGCGAGGTTCGAAGGGACCGACATTTTTGTCTCCGGGTATTGGGTTTTCTCTATTTGCTTACTTTTTTGTCGAGTTTGCCTACAATTTTGTTTTCGAGGGTGTTTGGGTTCGTGCTGCGGAATTGGTGTTTTGCTGACTAATCTTTTCTCTCTTTTTGTGTGGGGGTTGCTGGGTTTCTAGGTTCATTAGTTGGTGGTCAATAGAGATCCCAAGTTCACCAATTTCGTCGAGGTGAGAAGACGGAAACATCCAATTCCCTTTCAATGTTACTAAAATTCAGAACCTTGGCCACCAGAGAAGGGCGGCGTGAAGTCGGCAATAGCGGCAGAGGTGACTGCGAATTAGATTCATCGAAGCGATAAGTGAAGAAGAGGGATAGAAGATTGTGAAGTGAGATCATGAGCCGGGCTTTTCTTCGAAAAGAAATTGGATTGTAAATGGGTTCAGAATATTCTCATTTAAGACCCATATATTTTGGCCTTCTTATTTTTAAAACCCATTACGGCTGATTTGAAAAAAAAGAATGACCCATTATCAACCCATTTAAGCAAACATGAGTGGATTTTGGACCCATTTGATAGGTCTATAATGTATATGCTTTTGAACCTAGAACCTGGTTTTATGAATTTATTATTATAATTATCGACTTTATTAATTTATATTTGTGCACTTCTTTATGGGTACTAGAATTACATATTCGGCAATTAAAATTTTAAAATATTGTATCAAACAATGTATTATTAAACGGGTGTTGTCCGACCAAAAAAAAACAACAGGTGTTAATTTTTTAAGATCTCATTTATATTTAATTCAAAACTAAAAATCAAATCCATTTCAGGATTTGTGAAAAAAAAAGTAAAAAAATAAAAAAATAATTTTTAAAATTATAAAAATTGTCCACAAATTAGCAATATAATTTTTTTAAAATCATAAAAAATTATAATGGGTTAAATATGGAAGTGTTTTAGCAATACTGGTTGGGTCGGGTATGGGTCAGGTATGGGTTGGGCCGGGTATGGGTCAAGAAAATTACATTGCGCATAAATGGGTCATAAACAGGTTAATGGGTCAATTTGAGTCGGACTATTTATGACCCGACCCAAATCCGACCCGACCCGCCCATTTGACAGGTCTAGTACACATGTATATGTAGGACTCAAAATCGAGCTAAGTCCAATTTTGGGTGGGCTTAGCTTTGTGGTTGTGTTTGGATGGCTTATATAGTTCTTCATGAACCTAGAGTTTTCAGTTTGTTCTTTCGCTTCCGTCAAGAAAGCAAGAAGAGGGAACGAGATACAGAGAAAATCAGGTTTTTTGGTTGAAAGCGGCGTCGTTTTCTAGTCAAGATTCCTTGGTCATCTTGTCCCTTATCCAAAAGTTGGTCTTCACCTTTTGTTAAGAAAGCCGCGTTGATTTGAAAATTATTCCCATTGAAAAAGTCACGTTGGACATATCGTTGGAATTTGTACTCGGACATCGTGGGAATTTGTAGTCGGAAACACTTAGGCTCCGTAGGTTTTCGCGAAAAATAACTTTCAAAAAAATATTTTCCAAAATTTTCGGCATTCGATTCACAGAAAATAAATAAGTCAGGGAAAATATTTTTCGTCAATGGAAAAAACACATTCAAAAGTGAGGAAAATGATTTCCTCTTTTCCTTCTTTCACCATTGATTTTAATTATTCTTATTTTATTTTATAAAATTCTAATTTTTTTTTTATTTTTTTCTTTTATTTTTATTTTTTCTTCTTCTTTGGCCGATCACCAGCCACAAGTGAGCTCAAGCCAAGCGACGCTCGAGGCTTTGCCAATCACGACTTGCGAGGCTCGAACTTGCTTGTGGCTGGTCTTCGGCCGTCACTTGTCACCTTAGCCGGCGATCGGTTGGAGAAGAAGGTAAAAGAAAAAGAAAATAAAGAAAATACAAAAATCAATTTTAATAAAAAAAATAAAAAATAAAAATATTTTTTTTAAAAGCAGTGCACGGAAGAAAATCAAATCAGATTTTTCATAACAAACAGCAAAAAATATTTTCCGGGTCTTTTTCAAATTTTAGCTGAACACCAAAAAATTATATCATTTTCCTGTAAAATGGCTTATTCAAGAAATGTCACATTTTTCGCGAAACGATACTGATACTTATAATGTTAACAAAGTATCACGGAAAAATAAATGATTTAGAAAATATATTCCCAAAAAAAAACAATCATTTTTATGGCTTACTGAAATAAATGAACGAAAAATATATTTATCGTCCTGCAATAATATTTAGATATAAATTATTATCGATAATAAAAGTACTTTTCGTTAGCCTATTATTTCGAGCGATTGCGATTTTTTGCAAAAACAAACGCGCCCAACTCCCGTTACAAATCAAATCCGCCGTGACGCGTAAATCCAACGGCACAAAAATTCCGAGCGGAAGCGACGGCGAGGACAAACGGCCTCGACCAGAAGTCAATCAATCATTGACTTGGAGGGGCGCGCGATTCCGACAGCGGAAACGCACCAAATTCGATCGTTGGCTCTTCTTCCCTATCCCCATGCCAGCACATGCCACCTCACTTCTTGGCGCCCCCCCCTTCCCTCTTCCTTCTTTTATACATTCGAAAAATGGCAAAAAAAAAAGGAAAAAAATGAAAAAAAAGAAGAAAAATAAAGTCACATGTAATTGACGGGCCCGTTTGGCAACATGCCAAACAGTGAAAATTTCTGTTCTTTTGTTCCCAAAAATAGTTTGGGAACAGAAATGCGTTTGGTAAACTTTTTGTTTCCGGACACATTTTTGCAAAAATTTATGCCGAGAAACAGTTTTGGAAGAAAAACAAGAAGTAAAAAAAAGTTGTTTCTTGTTTCTCGGCACAATTTTGAGAATCAGTTTTTTTCTTCTTTTTCTTTTTTTTCTTTTCTTATTTTTGTGTTGTTCTTCCAGTGTGTGGCCATGTCAAACAACTAGGCCATGGCCAAAGAAGAAAATGGGTAGAAAGAAAAAAAATTAAACAATTCAAAATATTATTAAAATATTATTTGGGAACAGAAATTTTGTGTAGTTACCAAACGCATTTCTGTTCTTTTCTACTCTAGGAATAGAAATTTTGGTCACTTTATCAAACGTCTTCAAATACTCAGAAATTATTTCTGGGCACAGAATAAAAAAAAATCATTTCTGTTCAGAAATAGTTCCCGAGCACATAATGATATTCATGCGCACCCTTAGTCCCACTTTCCGTATTATTATTGTTATTATTTATACATAGATTTGTACTCAAGTGGGTCGAAGTCAACTAAACATTATAAGCAATTTGTAGTGAGTAATCTAATCTATCTTTCCGTGTTGATGGCCGGAGGGGTTTTTTCGTAAATCCGATGTCCGGAAGTTGACTTAAGAGAGATTGCGACGTTAAAGAAGACGCGCCTAATTGAGCTAGTGATTGAATATTACTAGAGCCAGAGCTAGATAAGGCCCCGTCGTTGTTGCTCTTTCGTTTATATCACATGGGGATTCGAGGGCCCCGACGAACCCGCTTCGGTAATTGTCGGACGTAATTTGATCAGGCAGGTGTATTCATCATTTTAAGAGAAGAAGGAATTCGACATGTGTCTGAACACCGAATCCCGATCACGGCCTCCCTGTACTTGTGTCGGAAGCCCGGCTCGTGGCCTCGAGCAGCCATGTGCTGCGCCCATGCCACGCCCAACCTTCGCGCCCGAGGCTTGTGCCCGTGCCGTCGCCGCCCCGTGGGGATGCCGGGTCGGGCCGTGCCCCCCCGGCGGGCGGCTCTGCCCGACCCGACCCGGCCGCCAGGCCACGGGGGGACGCGAACCGTATATGGGCCAATTGGGGTGCGTCCTACGCGCTCACGCTAGACAAAAGCTGTTGGGGGGAACTATACTCACAGTTTGGACGATATTGTTGTTTTAATCACCAACAAGAACTTCCCCCGAATAAAATTCAAAAAAAAAAAGAAAAGAAAAAAATAATTTGCCATCTCTCCTTCTCCTCTACCGACCAACCTGTAAAAATCCCCAAATCGATTTCCGCCATCTGCACATCTCCTCTTCCGATCTCCTCCCCCTCCTCCTCCACTCTGTCGCCGCTCTCGTTTGAAATCTCGGGAGCTGCGGTGGGGGGTCGCGATTAGGGTTTCCTGTCGGTAGCTTTTTGGTGGGAGGGAGGCGGGAGGCGGGACTCGGATTTCTTTGCTGATGCGGTGAGGCCGAAGCCATTGCTGGAATTCGGTGGGGGGAGGGGGGGAGGGGAATCTAGGGTTGCTCGCGTCGGGGGGGCTTGGCTTTGCCGGCGGCGGAGATGGCGGGCGGCGAGCTGCAGATGAGCCCTCAGATGGAGCAGATCCATGGCGAAATCAAGGACAACTTCCGGGCCCTCGCGTGAGTTTTGGTTTTGATGTTTCTCTCTTTGTAAATGGCGGCGTGGAATCTGGGGGAATTTGATTTTTGGTGCCTGTTGTCTCACGCGTGTGCTGGTTCCTAAGCACACGAATCTATAGATTTGGGTGGGTGGGAATTAGTCATCTTCTTTCTCGTCGATCGGCGCGCAGTGTAGTGCGTTGCGCGGGCGTATGAGTGGGGACGAGCTGCACATACGGAGGCGGGTATTGTAGGTGCTGATTTTGTGTCGATCATTGCTCTGTAGAAGTAAAGGATCAGGAATTGAGCTTATGGATGGATCTTTGCTAATGCGGTAATGAAATGTATGTGAAGCTGCATAGTGCTATCGCTGGTTCGTCGGTGTGACTAAAGGTGATGTTACCCGTCACCGATGCAAAAGGAACGGTGGATGCCGACTGTGCTTCTCTTTAACCTTACTGCGAGCATAGGCTACGTGTTTTGGGACGATGAAGGGCGGTGCGGTATGATCCTTACTGCCTTGCGAGCAGTGGAGAAGGTGATCAGTTTGGAGGAAGAAAACGGATGTCAATCCTCATTTTAAGTATCCAGCAAGCAAATAAGGATTCGGAGTGTGGAAGAATGCTAGGAGGTGCTTTAGGGAAAAGCGATGGATTTCTTCAATTAGGATGTTGGCAGTACGGAGGATAAATAGAGAGAAAAAGCGGTATTATTTGGTCATAATTTCTGTTTGGCGCAGATGACATGATGTCAAGACTCGAGATCTGTTTCTAAGTTTAGCAATACGAGGGAAAAAAAAGTCTGGATTACTTTTTCTACGTTCAGGAAATATTTGTGACGTTTCAGATTCGTCATTCACCGAGGGAAAAGCAATTAATTTTGAGAGACGCAGTGTCGTTCAATACTTGTTGATTCTATTGGTGGAGAAAAGGGAAAAAAATGATTGTATATGGTCTATAAAGGGGAACATTTTCTCTTTTTAAGAAACGATTTGATAAAAATACCTCTACAAGGCCAAAGTTATGAATTGTGTTTTCTTACAAGAGAAAGATCCACCGTGATTTGGAGAATGATTCTTTGCTTTTGGCAATGCACATGAATAGAGGGGTGGACGGAGGGAAGAGGAATGTGGATGGCTGATATAGCCATTTTTTATCAAACACATGGAATGAAACGACCACCATGTACTTCTCTTGGTTAGATGATGAAGAAATCGACTGCATGCCGGAAATTGCATTGATGTGTTAGGCAGTCTCATTGATATATAGTTTGTCTTTTTCAAGTTAAAAATGGGCCTTCAGGCCAAAGAAAAAGGTCAAAATGCGCATTTATGGAGATACTGCACTCTTCTGCTTTAAACGTATTGGGTATCTTGCAAACATGTGTTTCATAATCGTTATTGAGGGCTCATCTTCTTAACCGTTATTTAGCTACATATCTAAGGTAGATGTGGTTTCTTCTGGGTAATCATAAGTTTGGAGAGTCAGTTGCCTTTTCAATTGTCTTTCGAAGACGAGACTTGTGCTTATTGCAAACACTTGATATATATACATCAATCTTCGTCTGTTTTTTGGGTGTATGCAGAAATGGCTTCCAGAAGATCGATAAGATCAAAGATTCCAACCGACAAAGTAAACAATTGGAGGAACTCACTGGGAAGATGAGGGAGTGTAAGAGGTACGAGGCTGCTTCAATTCCTTTGTTTGATTATCGCGTACGGTGTAACCATTAAAGAAGTGTAAGCTTTGGACCATTTGCTTCAATAAAGAGTTCTGTTTTCACAATCGGCTATATAATAAACAGGGCAAGTGTTTAAATCCGTATTAATTACATGAGATGAGTACGGGTTTTAAATATATGGTATAGATAAGGTTTCCTTATCTCTTGTGTCATATTTTTGAGTGAGAGGAGTGTGCAAAAGAATTATTTTAGGAAAGGGGAAAAACAAGAGACAAGAGTCTTTAATCTCTAATTTTTGATCTGCCATGCATTGTTTCCTTCAATATTCAGTATTGTAGATCGCAAGGTTTAACATCTTGTATATTTATACAGATTAATCAAAGAGTTTGATCGAGAAATTAAGGATGAAGAGGGCAGAAATCCACCAGAAGTAAATAGGCAACTCAATGATGAGAAGCAATCTATGGTCAGTTCCCGATCCCTTTTGTATAAATTACAAATGAAATTTTAAACTGTACCATCTCGATGTTCATGCACGTCAGCATTTCTCCATGGCAATATTTGTGTCATGAATTCTTCTTCATATTTTCTTAATTCTAGCAAACTTTTTTTCACTGCACGTTCTCTCCTTTTTCAGATCAAAGAGCTAAACACATATGTAGCAATGAGAAAAACGTAAGTTTTCTCTTTTCTTATTCTTTTGGCTCATAATTCATATATTTGGTGTCATTAGGTGAATAGCTTCTCTTTTGTACTTCAGCCTTAGGCAGTAGACAAAATGGACTGCTTTTTTGTTGGTGGTTTTCAGGTATCAAGATCACAGGTGGGTTCTTATTTTATGTTCTTCATGTTGAATTGAATCTCTGTTGTGTAATTGCAGGTATATGAGTACTCTTGGTAATAAGAAACTTGAACTTTTTGATATGGGAGCTGGAGTAAGTGAACCAACTGAAGATGAAAATTTCCAAGTGGCATCAGGTCAGTTTGGATTTCTTTCCTAATGATAACTGCTGTTTAATTTTCAAATATCTTAATTAAATAAAGTACAGATGATTTGCTAGTAGCTCCGGGCAATACTTCTATATGCCATCTTTCAGCAAGCAATAAAATGTTATTTCATGCAATTCTTTTATTCCACTTTCTTGTAAAATAAAATATCGATGAAAGGTTTGGACATGGATGTTTAATGTTAAATCAGCGTCCATTTTCTTTGTTTTTAGTGTTGTTTTCTCATGAGCTGATAATGGTTCCTCTTAGTTTCCTGTATCCTTGGGGATGCAACAAACCTGTCAAATAGGTCACTATTTATATCAGCTAGCAGTCCGACTGTCTAATAACCATCGATAGAGTTAGACATTAGCACATCTAATCTTATCTAAGCAAAGTTGAGTGTTGATGTTGTGCTTTCTCCTTATCTGACACAGACACTTAAAACTAGTAGGTTGCATCACTTTTGTCCAGTATTTTGAACTGGAAGATTGTTTCACAGTTGTCAGAGAAGGGCATTTACAAATTTTTCCTATTGGCGTTTATGTTTATATGTCAGTGGAATTAGATGATGGAACACTTATTCACCTTGAATTGATATGTTCTCTCGATAATTCTTTCTTGGGTTTATTGTGTAAAACTTGGTCTCATTTTTTTTCTTTCCTGGCCAACTTATTCTGCCTTGCAGCCATGTCAAACCAACAGCTCATTGATGCTGGAACGAAGCAAATGGATGAAACTGATCAGGTCATTGAGCGCTCGAAAAAGGTGAGCACTTATCTTGATGAATTCTTGCTCCTTTTCTTACATAGATATCATTATTCTGATGATGAATGGATTCCTAGGTTGTTGAGCAAACTTTGGAAGTGGGAACACAGACTGCTGTCACCTTAAAGGGCCAAGTTAGTCTTCTTTATGAACTTATTATGGGGAAGAAAAGAGTCTGCATCATTTTGTTATTTTAGTTTGGGCCTTACTTGAAGATCTAACTTTCTCCAGACCGAGCAAATGGGGAGAATCGTGAATGAGCTTGATACGATCCAGTTTTCTATTAAAAAGGCTTCCCAACTTGTGAAGGAAATTGGCAGACAGGTTCATCTGTTTTCCTTTCCTTTATTTTGCCTGTAAATGTATTTGTTTCCTCTCTAGTGGGACTTTTGTTGAGTTCTATCTTCTTTTTTACAGGTGGCAACAGATAAATGTATTATGCTTTTCCTATTACTTATCGTCTGTGGCGTGATAGCAATTATTGTGGTGAAGGTATATTGTTCAATTAATCCATTCATCACTTGATCAGATTTACATTTTAATGGAGTGATTTGTTTGCCTTTTGCTATAGTTCAATCTAATCCCTCGTGTGCAAAATCTCATTGTGATGTCTGTGGAGGTTTAATTATGTTTTGGTAATATTTGATATATAGATTGTGCACCCCAACAACAAGAACATCAGGGACATTCCTGGACTAGCACCACCTGCGCCGACAAGAAGGTTGTTATCTATCAGGGATTTCGGAGATGCGCAGTAGATTCCTTGTATCCGAGGGTAAAAGTTGCTGCAAATCCCGTCACGGTGAAAGTAATCTGGCAAAGCTGTTTGTGGGCATGTATATGGTTTTTTTCTTCTATAATTACTATTCTTGCCTGACATGCGTTTTCTTGTCTGTGATTCTATTTGTATGTGTAAATCATTTGTGAGGCCTCCTTTCCCTCTTCCGCTTCTTTTCTCTTTGCAGAGTTTGTATGGCATGGTTTTTTTTCGCTTATGTTGTCGAGACCATTGTAGACGGCAGAACTACACCATCATTGCCATGTACATGTATTCGGCTAAATGCCCTTTTGAGGATGTAATGCATGCCTGTTTTGAAATTTCTTTTGCCTTCTGATTTCAGTCGGGCTGCGGTTGATCGTGTCGTGAAAATTGCATACGTTTACTGATTTCCTGTTTGACGACCGGATAATTAAACAGCTCTACCTTGCTATATACCAATTTAGTGCGTTTGTTGCTTTCATCCAAGGCTCTGTTTGCTAACTAAATGATACCAATCTTCCAGGGTAGAGCGTTCTAAACCTCTAGATGAAATTGTAACAAAGCCCTCCTTCCCTCCCTCTCTGGATTAAGTACCACAAAAAGAATGAGATTGTCCATCCCTGCATTTGGCTATCACATTGAAATAACTTGACATTGCTGAAGAACCACATGTTCGATATAATCTGGAATCAAAACTAGAGTACGTAATCACCTTTAACAAAGGAACAAGAGCCCAATTGATTCACGGGAACGGACAATATGGTCAGCCTGTCATTGACGTACAACTGCAGTTCCTGTGCTCCTCTGCGTCGCGACTCCTCGATGTGTCCCCATCTACAATTTGAATTGATGCACTAACTTGCCAGAGTGGTTTCTGAAAGAACGCTCTTTCCATAGGAAGCCCGGGGACGCACCCTCACGATCTTCTCTTGTTTCCTAGGATGAATATAAAGTTCTTCAATCATGAGTATGCTGACTCATTTAGAATGGCTGTTAAATTGTGTCCGTCCTGTGTAAAAAAATCTTGACGATGGGATGAGAGGCGCTTCTTCATCGACGGTAGGGCTGGCGGTGGGACTATTCCCCCCGTTTCTTCCACTATTGTTGTCGCTCCCCTTGCTAGGCAGAAAAGGGTCAGATGACTTCTTCTCGAGCTTCCAATCCTAGAATTGATAAAAAGGCATTAGGCTCTTAAGAGTGAGAACAATAATGGCCAAGGAATAAACGAAATAGCAAGAATTCTACAAAGGGCTTAAAGCTAAAAAAAATCATATCAATCATCCTTGAACTTTGTCCATCGTTTAACTAACGAGGACCTCAAAGGGTGCGTTCAGAAAAGCACAACAATCACAAATTCACAACTAAAGTCTGAAATTGAACGTGTGCTTGCCAGTGTAGTGTGCTAGTTCCACGGTGTCCAAAGGCTAGAGTGGAGTACTTGCCCCATGATCTGACGATTTATCAGGATCATAAGAAGTTTCTGCTGACCATCCATTATGTCAACCTCAAAGTAGTTTATCGAAATAACGGATTGCTGCCGTTCATCAAGTTAATAATTTAAAAGGCACCCGCCAACAAACATTTTGATGCCGAATGTTGCTATAGTGCCATATCAGGAACTAATATTTCTCCATCCCAAGAAAAGGGCGGTGGGGCAGGGGATGAGGAATGGTGAAAACAACTTCAAAACAGAGTGCCTAAGTACAAAGTGCGAAGATTTGAGCACATAAAGTTCAGAAGCCATAAAACAGAGAGCCTAATGATGACAGTGTATCTTCCTACTCCTTGTGTTTTCATGATCAACGATTTTAGTTTCAATCTTTAACTTCGAACCATATATATATACAGTGCCTCAGGCATATTCCCTCGAGAGATACTTCAAAACAGATCCCCGTGCAAGAAACTGACCTTTGTAATTCTCTCTGGAATACTCTCTGCTGGAGCTTGAGATGCACGAACATCTTTAACCTTAATGTAATTATACATAACAACACCACACAGAGCTGCAAAAAGGAAAAGGGAACACTTTCATTAATCCCAGAATATGAGATCAAAGATGCGTTGGAAGCTTTAAGTTAGAAAGACAGAATACCTATTGCATAGCCTATTATATTGAGCCCAGTTATTGTCGACTCAGGAAATATAACAGTGGAAAGTGCTATCAGTATCCAATCTTTCAATACGCCAGCTACGCGAATGGTAACTGCACCAGTTCGACCAATAACCAGGAAAATGGAAAAGTTGAGAGCCAAAGCACAGATGGCGTTGGAGAAAAAGATCCAAAAGTTGAACTGGATCTGTGAAACTTCCATCTCTTGCATCTCGAGTAAATACCAAGGCACAAACAGAAACACAAAACTGCATGTTAAAAATAGCGAGAAAGTTAGCATTCTTGATATGAACTGATGGAATACAGGACACTTCTGTCAACGATATTCTAAAATGCACTGAAATAAGATGACATTATCAAGCATGCTCTATTGCTCTACATATCACAGGATCTATGCTGTCAAGTCATAAAACTGATGCTGCAAATTCAGGAAACAGAACTCTCAATGACAAAATTTTACAATCTAGTAAAGCACATACTCAATATTTGGCATTCACATTACAAGGGACACCCACTGCCAAAAAAGCCATCCATCTTTCACCTTTTCTTTCACTAAATCAAAGTCCAACCTAAGGGCTTAATTTTAAATGTATTCAAAGAAACCAGTGCAATCGACAATTAAATTCAGTACCTGCACGGAGCAATATAATACACGCTGGTGATGGGATTTAGAGTTAACCCCTTCTTTTGCAGCAGGACTTGGGTCAAAACCAGCCTAAGAGCCTCAGCAAAGATTCCCGTGACCTGGTAAGCTGTACCAACAATATTGAAATGGATTTCCCCGTATGAGGAAATCACAACCCCGATGCTCACCACCAGCATGTTCAAGAACACATCACACCTTAATTTATCAGTGCCACACATAACTGCTGTGACAAAGGTTGCCACCGGCACTGTAATATCCAACATTTAACAAGTAAGAGGTAATTCAATACAATGAGCAGTTGAAGATATATAAAAGAACAGGGATTTTTTCAACATACTTAGAGCTTTCAGCATCTGGATGAAGGCCACAGAAATGTGCAAGTAAGCAGTGTTGCCAAACCTGTAGAACGTACATTGTATGGATCATGTAAGGATTGGCTTAAATGTTGATAAACCGAATTTGAACATGAATGTGACAACTCTTTGACATTAAATTAATCTATTGATAACATAAAACCCCTTCTCTGCACAGTTATGGCAATTGGTTGTGGAGAAGTAACATAGAAACATCGTAAGAAAATGTTGTAAGAAAAAGATAGTTGGGACTGATATTGCGGAGATCATGAATGATATATCAGAACCCAGAAAACCATGTACCCCACATTACCCAATCAATGAGGATAGCTAGACCTATGAAATAAACAGATTTTACACATAACTGATGAGCCAAGTAGATATATTTACATGATAGGATCAAGTTATCCACAATGGGATTCAATATTACTGCCCTCAAAATATTGCATGAGTGCTCACCAGAGGCTAGAAGCAAAGAATGCACTTATTGGTATGACACACGTTGCATATCTGCACAAATAGAAGTGGTGTTATCGGGATACAGGAGTTAAGAAAGTGCAATGATCTAAACCATTGCAACTCCAGAGACAAAAATATATGATCATATGAACCGCTTACATTTCAAAGGTCATCTTAACCGGAGCTACAACCTGCAAATTAAGATTGTTTAGATGCGCATTAGCATAGACAGACGAGGAAGTAAACACGAGAAAGAGGCATGTTATATCAAAGATTCCGAAGATATGGATGGAAGTAAAGGTCCAAGTGTCCATGAAGAATGCGTACCTTGAAAACACGAATAAGAAGAAAGGCTACTGCTCCAGAAAATCCCATATGAATCATGGTCAGTGTAATTGGAAATGGGAAATTGAAGTACTTGGGAGAAAGTACCCACTGCAAAAATTTTCAAAGTTAGAATCACCACATAAGTTTTGTCAATCGACACAACTCTTACATCCCAATAGAGGTACAAGTTTAATCAATGACAAAGAACAGCCGATTCAGGCTGCTGATGGTTTGACCTGGCAACATTTCACAGAGCTATGCATTGTTCCATGAGATCATAAAGAGTGGCAGGCAAAGATTTGACTTAGATCATAAGACAGCCTCAAGGCAAATGGCAAGATAAATGAGATCCACATAGCGGCCTCCAAAGACAGCTTAATGAAAAAATGGACACACATTACGAAAGTGATCCGGTCTGGACTTTCGAAAATGGGCATGACTAGTTGCAATGCGATACAAATGCAAGGAATTTAAGCAGTGAACGTGCATTACCTTGTTGTAAAGTATAACTCCAGATGAAAGCAAAATGTAGATAAATAGGTAAAGGTATGTCAGGACCAGCGGTTTGTTGATCATCTTGCCCATTCTTATCTTTCACCCCAGCTAAACCAGCTTCTACAATATCTTCTGGAAAATGATTGTCATGCCCGTAAACCGATCATGACCCCAGAGAGAAGTAAAATGATATTCCAGCAGCAGATAGAAAAACCCAAATGGAAATTGATCTCCCCAAGCACTGGGAAGTGGAAAACCCAAATGAAGCCGAACTTCGGTGAAATGGAGCTATTCTTGATGTTCACAAAATCTCTGAACTGCCAAAGAAATGGCATGAAAATTCAAAATCATAATGCCACGACATTCAACTCAAAACAAGAAACGATATTTCTGCCAAAGCAAGATGGACTAGAAATGGACATTGAAAGTACAAAAACAAACCACTTCCACCAAATGGGGAATTCACAAAGTCTGATCCGGAACAAGCACCATTGAACGTAGTACACAACAACGAAGAGCAGAAAATGGGGAATCATGCGACATACCCAAACAACGACACCGACAACCCCACATTCTAACTAAATCAAATCCAACCTCAAAGCCAAAGAAAAACCACGTTCACCTAATGAGACAGGGACAGAATTAACACTAATTAGATCTGCAACGCAAGGCAGCTAAAAACCCAGCAGTACGAGATCGACCCACGTCCAGACATGCATGAACAGACGCATTACCTCAACCAAAATCGATCCTTTCGTTACTCGCCAAGATTGACCGCCAGATTTGTATTAGTAGTGAAGAGATCCAATCCGAAGTGAGCAGGAAGGGAAGAGCGTTTGTTTTTGTGGGGAGGGGGGATCCTTGAGCCGGAGTGCGAGGTGAAGGCTCCTGAGATGGTCACAGACCAGGTGGGTTGGGCCCAAAATCAGTGGATGTTTGGTGGTGGGA